CGAAGGCAGTTTTAAGAAAAGTTGCAAAAGGATGATTTTAATTTAACCGCCCTGAGAAACTGAGATGGTGAGATTCAGCTTAAGAATCTACCAAATAAATCTTATAGTCACCCTTCGTAATAAAGAAAACTCTACTTCTCTACTTCTTCTTCACCTGTACATTGGTGAATATTGATATCATGAATAGACCCTAATGTCATTTCCCAGTAGATGTGAGCACTTTCCAAGTAAGTAGACAACAATGTATTGACACCTCAGATGATGTACTGTACATTTAAACAATCTGATTAAATGTAATTTGTGTAAACTGAAACATATTTCATGGTTTGGCAACATTATCCCCTTCCCCTGTATGCTGTGTGTCACAGATGGGAGCAGGACATAGAACAGTGTGATGTAGTGATGTTGTACTTATTCATGCACGTTATCATTGGGCTCATTACAATATCATTCTTGAGACTTAGTTTAAGTCCAAAAAAAGCTTGTTGGATAATGGTTTTGCAATATTTAATATTTCTTGAGTAATATGTGTGAATGTACAATATGCACATACAAACACTCTGTTTTATCTGGGTTGATGTTTTTATTCTCAATTTGTTTAAATGTTTTTACCTGAATTTAAAAGGTTGAATCGATGTATTCATATGCTGTTCAGACTATTTACTGCTTATTTATACAAACGCAGGGAGGATGCAATGCCAATATTTGCGAATTGTAAATTGAAAAAGACGAAAGGGAAACTGGGGGGGAAAAAACTTTTTAATGGATTCTCATGAATACATTATCACTACATGATAAAGTCAAATGCAGAGTATGAGTTTCCTTTTCTAACACTCTTTACCGCATCTCATCGACCTGAAGGTGGTGCAATGCGATAGAGAAAAATAATTGTGCCTCATCAGCAGTCCTGAGATGCTTCATCAGTGATAAACTCAAAGAAGCTTAAATACGTGCCATACAATTCTTTCAAGAGCAGGTGGCGGTATTCCTGTCTAAATCTACCCTGTTAAATTGTCTCCTGAAGACAAATACGGCAAAAAGAAATATATGAAAAAGATGATAAATGTGTGATTTGAACGTGATACCTCTGAATAACTCATCAGCGTGCAGTCATCCTTATCCATGCATCCCTGGATGTAGCTATAGTATCTGTGAAAACATGGATTATAAGACAACATCTACACGTTTTCAGTCAAAGTAATGACTCTGAACTGATCCAGCTAATGTAATTGTTCCTTTTAGCTGAACAGCACACTGAGGGAGCAGCCTGTACTTACGGGATCCAGCTTGAAGGGTGATTCTGGCACAGACTTGATCTGATCCATAGCAGGTCTCCACATGGCCACATGGCCACTTGGCTTCGACGTGCCTCCACAGTTACACCTCAAGGCTTCACCTGGAAAAAGGAAAAGGAAAAATCATATCCAACCTTTGTATCCCAATTAGTGCTGCATTTTCACTGGCGCAAATAATTGACCTTAAGGTCTGAAATCAGCCCAAAACAGACACACTGGAGACATGAATTGCAGGTATTAATCAGCTGCAGCTTCTTGTGGCCATCATGCAATTTTGGTGAAATACACTGCAGGTTTGTTGGGTTTCCTGTACAATAACCTACCCTGGCTGACAACCACCAACACCAGAAGAGCAAGAATCACAGTCTTCATGTTTCCATGTGACTGTACAGTGTACACCGGTCTGTGCATGAATAAAGCAAGATGGAAAGGTGTTCGAAATCAAATGACATATTATAAGTGTTGATGGGAGCACTTTCATTAAGCACATACAAAAAAAACATTAAAGATATCCCACCTGGTAAATTGTCCTACTGGACGTGTGCTGCAAGGCTGCTGGCTTCCTTTTTATTAGGACTTGTTGCGCAATTAATGCAAATCCAGTGCATCATTAACTCAAAAATTGTCATCTGGGTTTTATTCATAAACCGAGTGGCTTATCGAGACCAGACGTGGATGTTGCAAAACCCAGTATGACCTCACTGATGCCCCAGGAGAGAATACTAATATTTTTTATGGTCCTATAAAAAACAAAAACAGTAAGCTTGTAAAAAAAAAGTAATGTTACCCTCTCATTGGGAGACAACACTGTGTCATGTATTAGCTCTATTTGAGAAATTGATTAATTCACTGCAGAAAAATTTGTCAAATTTTTGAATATAGAATTTGCTCATTTTTGTGCTGGATTTGGTCAGTTTGAGCTTTGCATTTCCATTTTAACCAATTATAAAGAGTGATTAAGAATTAGAAAGACACCACATCACTGTATATAAAAGAGAAAATGAGAGGTGAATGAATTAGAGTGTATATTATAGACTATAAGATCTATAAGACATATCAGAAAACACAACACGTGTTGTTACTTTATGTTTGTCCTGACAGGACGCTGTGTTGTTGACATAACCTGTTGAAATTGAGCCAATGGACATGAAACAAACTCAAGATGTTATCTGTGTGTGCACTGAAACCCTGAATGAAAAAAAATGTCACTGCTTGAATGAAATTTACATGAAAATATAGAATTAATGCGTTAACATTAGTGAATATAGGTTTTGTGTTTTTAGCTATGATCAGAAATGCTGATGTTACTGCTGCAGTTCCATCTCAGCAAGCATGAACAATACTCTACATTCACTTATATAATCGGATTGAGAGTCAAGACAGATCAGCCCAAATAAAAAAAATGGATAAACCAAAAGCATTCACAAAAGACTCACTGGATTCACAGTCACTAATGAGAAAAACAACAGCTGCAAATCCTCTCTCTCTTTTTTATATATATATTCTAAAGCCGACTGGTGACTTTCTGATTTACTCTGTTCTTACCAGAGATATTTTTCAACCGTTCAACATTTTCGTCTGTCTCGTAAATGGATGACTTCATTTTTTTCTACATCCTAGTGGAAGTAAATAAATTTAATTAAAATAATTCAGTAATTTTATATTTGGCAGCAACTCTTAAATATTTTTATGTCACAAATAAGAGGAATTTGTCTCACTCTCTCTCTCTCTCTCTCACACACACACACACACACACACACACACACACACACACACACACACACACACACACACACACACACACACACACACACACACACACTATATGTACTTCTTTCAGCTACAAGTGTGACACGTATGAACTCTAGTGGACTCAAATATATATGTTTGTACTTATAAACTACGACTAGTCTGCCTCTTTCAGGTAATAAAGAATGAATAACCCCCCACATGAAAACGTTAAAGTCCCATGTCATAACCAAATACAGTACATGTATGTAACAGTATACAAATGAAAGCATAACTCTGATGAATGCACAGAAACAGGTCAATACTTCCCATTATCTCCCTGTAACGGTAAAGTGCTCCTCTATTCCAACTTTCTGAATTTCCTCAGTGAAAAAATATTCCAACATGTCTTGCAACTAAATAGTTGTTCACAGAATACGTGACTTTCTTTTCAGAAAAATGATATATCAAGTGTGGTAAGTGTGACGCCACAGTAAAGGACACTTCAATACATTTCTGCATACTTTATTTTGTCAGCTAAGGAGAAATCATTGAAAAAGAACAAAGTTCCTGAATGTTTTTCCCCCCACTAGGCATTCATATTTAGTAAATGAATAACAGTACTTAATATTTCATGGGACCCTCTTTTCATCTAAATATGTATTTATTTATGTTTATTTATCAACAGCTATGTTGTGTTTATATAACTATAGATCTGTAAGAAAGACATTATTTCACAGGACTATGCCTTGGTGTGGAAAACAATAAGAAATGTCTTAAAATCTCATAAAACTGGAGACATTCAATGGAATTTTCTTGAAATCATAAATGATGTACTGCTTAGTGGAGATTGGATTGTAGATATTCATAGTCCAAGAACTCACAAATAAAAAATGCTGAAGTGAGAAAAACATTCAATTCAAAACAATAAACAATCTATGCTCAATGATGCACATACTCTCGTCCCTATGTGCAATGTGTCATTTTTGTTCCTTCACATATTAAAACATCCAACCCCTCTGAGCCGTCTGTCTACAAACACAGTATCTGTGAACCACAATCAACAGGTTGTCATGTAGAATGCGTACACATTATTTTGGAAACCTTTTCCTTAGGAAAAAGAATAAACAACTTTACCATGCAAGGAGGTAACAAGCATTATCAACCGCAAATTGCTCTAAGGGACGTTGGACAAAAATATACAGTATACACTGGAACTCTTTTATTTAAAGACACACTTCAGTAAATCCAAGATAATGCACAAATGACATGCTTTTGCATAGAAATGGTGTAAATTGTGTGGAGTTTGACAAATTAAGTTAAGAAATTAAGTTATTAAATACAGCACACGTTGACATTCTCCAGCAGGGTCTCTTTAACACTGTAAGTAGTTGCATGTCTATAACTCCCCCCCCCCCCAAGTTGTAGTGAAGTCAGTGAGTCTAACCCTGAAACAGTTTAATCTGTGAGGTCCAGACACCACGACTGCTCTGTGCTCAGAGTCTGAACACCAATGCTGGACCTTCGCGATGACACGCTTTCACTGTCCCTGCTCTCCATAGAGCCCCCATTCCCCAGTAGGCACTCCAGACTGGTGTGTTCTATGGCAGATGGGTCGCCCAGTGGAAGATCAGGCTCGAGAGCATCCGATCGCTGTGAGGCTGAATCCAGGGAGGATCCAAGAGGGTGGCCTGGCAACATGGGTGGAGATGCAGACACAGGGTGGACCGAGGGGTGTGAGTCCTCGATTTGGAAGAGGGAGGTGTCCTGGATCACATTATGGGATGTTGGGGCGGATATCAGAACGCAAATGTCCTCATGTGAGGCTTGTGATAAGTTAAGATGGGATTCGGAGTGCAGGGAGAGATGGGGGTACGAACTGGGTGACGAGTCCAGCAGGCTGTGTGTGGACGTACCTGTAGGGACACCGGACAAAAGGCAAGAGTATTCATCACTATCACTGGGAGGCTGCAGGCACAAAGTAGGCTGGGACTGGCTGATGATGGTCGGGCTAGCACCGACAAGCCTGTTGTCAGAGTCTTCATACCCAGCATGAGGTGCGAGGCCTGGACTTCCACCCTGGAAGCCTGGGCTGGCTCTGAGAGGAGACGGGCTTGTCCACAGATGTGTTGTCATGCTCTCAGAGCTGTGACACGGGCCTAACCTGGATGCAGAGTTTACAGAGAGGGGCAGACAGGAGTTGGCAGGTGGACTAGAGCATTGAGGCCAGTGCTGGCTATCTGTTTGGGTTTCAGCAGCTCCACTGTAGTTCCAGTGGCCAGCGGGTGCAACGCTTCGCTGGCTGTGGCCTTCCTGGCTCCCAGGATTGTTATTGGGGTGGAAGGTTGGAGCTAAGTTAAAGGGCATGCCAGTGTTGGGGACTGTAGACGGGTTGGACACCATTTGGATGCCATATGGGTATGAAGGAAGGGAGGCTTTGTAGTGTTGCACAGATATGTGGGCCTGAAGGAGATGCATCATGTGGTGCAGGTCCTTGGTGAGTTCAGATACTTCCTGGTTTAATGTGCCCATCTGCGTAGACAGTGCACACAGTTTAGTTGCGACATTAACAGATTTGGAGCATATTCTATTATTACACTGAGGAAACGTGGTAAATTACACAAGTACAGTACAGCTTCAAAGTACACAAAAAACAACAACACAGTTTTGCCCAATTAAGTCCCCAGCACAGAGTGACAAATTAATCGGTTTCTATCTTTGAGGCTCAATATTGGATCCCTGTCCAGATATCATTTTCTAATGATCTCCCTGAAGATAGCTGAACCATTTTAAACCCCTCTGACTTAAATAAATGATTTCTTACGCAGCAGTGAAATCCAGAGGGACACAGACTGAGTCAAATAGGGAAGAAAGTAGACAGAAAACTGTGAACAAGGGACAGGGGTCAGAGAAGGGCCACAAGTAGATCAAGGTTGTTATCCAACATTTTTTTTGGTTCAGATTGTCGAGTCAGCACTCCGCACTCTGCATTGTAGAAGCACCCTGCTGATTAATGAATATTGACTTCAGAAAGCACCTACATGGGCCCATCTGGATCCTCTTGCTGCACCTGCTTACGCATTATTTACATTAAAGTGAAGCGTGCAGTGGCAGACTGAGACACAAGGCACACATTAAGTCTATTTCTGCTCATTTTCTAGGTCAGCTCTGAAGCAAATTCATGTCTGAACAGGAACTCGGTTTATAATGTCAGAATAGCACACAGGTTGTATTTTCTAATAAAAAATGAATTAATGCTTCCTGTATTTCATATTCAGTACTTTACAGACAGATGACAGATTTGATGAGAGGGATACATTATTTTTGGTCCAATCAATGTTAATCTAGGTTTAAGAAGTTGTACCTTACCTTTTGGTTGAGTTGACCGATGCTCCGTCTGACCTCCTCTGTCTCAAGCAGCAGAGTGGAGTTAACCTGTGTGGAGTCTAAAGATATGAGGAGGAGAAAAACAACAAGTAGTTGACTCAGTAGCACACAACTCGGCCACAAACACGGAGGTCTTTATCATTATTAAAATGAAAAACTTTTCTCCAGACGATGAGAAATTACAGACACATGTATGTGCACGTATTGCATGTACACACACACACATGCATATATGTACAGTTGAATATTATGTGTGAATTACTGCAAAAACATTATGTTGTAGAGCTATTGCTTTGGATTCGTGTCTGCGATGTCATCTCTACTCTTATGTCTATTATCTAAAGAAATGGTTTATGTTGTTGCTGCTGTATGTCAGGATCTAAAAGAGGGAAGCTTGTGAACACTTAAAACACGACCAATATGACAGTAGACGGACCACAGCAGCAATTATGTGGAATCAATGAGGCACAAACTAGAAAAAAGCTAAACATAATGCAGGCAATCCTCCGGGAGGCGCTGCATGACGGCCAGAACAACTCAAACCAAATCAGGAGGTTTATCCTACACCACAGCTTTTAAAAACACTTTTAGTGATTAGGAAGCTGTACTGTACATAGACTGCTACGGTGTAATGTTGTGCATCCCTCAAGTACATTAGTTGGACTTTAACTGACCTGAATGTGATATTTTGCCAGAATGATAGCGATCATCAGTGTAAAGCCCAGGTTAGATGATCTGTACACTGCTTTGACCTCTGTTGTCTTTTAACATGTTCTCTGACTCTTTGGACACCCGGCTGTCATTTCATTCCTCTGCGCTCTCATATTTCCCCCAGAAGGAGTCAGGGCAACATTGTTGTATCCACTGTTTGAACCCTTGGGTTTACCTCCAGCCATCTGGCACCCGGGTGACCCTCGCAGCTGGAGGTGGTTTGACTTACCTTGGGTGCTGCCTCCCGTGCTGGCATTGGGCCTGCTGTGCTCCACGTTGAAGTGGAACGCGTGTCCATTGTCTTCGATGCCGTCTACCACCCTGGCAGGGAGGGGCGAAGAGAAGGGAAGCCGGAGTTAATGTAACAGTAGAGCTTTTTCAATCATCATTGGAGCCTGCAGACGACCGAGGAATGTGGCATGAGAGCTGCTGCTGGCAGAGGCCCATGTGGGTTTGAACATGAGGAGAAGAGCCCAGTCTGGAGGGGCGGACACCTGAGCTCTCTGAACCAGCACTTACCCATATCTAGGACTTACTGGATGACTTAGGGATACATTATGAATACAGATGGTTGGGGCAGGAGGATAAGGTGCTCTGGTAATGAAATGCAGTGACATCTGTTGAAATATGCAATGCAAATACACTCCATTTACATTAAGTGGATGATGCCGGTTCCTGTGGCATGACTTTAGGTGTCTGTTACAACGAACAACTTACTTTGATCATCTGAGACGCTCTATGTCGGGTATAACTAGGATGGATATATAGACATAACGTGGTCTACAAAATCCAGTGAGATGGCCTATGGCCTATGGTATAGTGGTGCTGTTAATGAGGTAAACTGCTGTGAAATAGTTTTAAAAAGGGGACACAAATTTTGGATTCTTAAAAATGAATGAACTTCGGCCTCTGGAGGGAAACCACAGTGTTTAAGAAGAAGGAACACGAGCATGTTGCTGCTCATGTCACTATGAAAGTATCAGATTATACGATGATATCAAAATAAACGTCTTTCAAGAAATGAGATACAAAGAAGAATAGATGTAAAAATCCCTGTCACACTGTAATGTAATATAATACAACTGTCTGAATAGATTCTGCCTTTGTGAAACTTATTATTTGCTGTTGACACTGTGCCATATGTTAAATCTACTGTATGATCATTTAGAGACTATAGTTTGAAGTGTTGTGTTGAACTGCATTAGAAAAGCATAAACTCTACAGTGTATTAATGAAATTATTACAAATATAATATAAACACAAACAGTGTGGAGTCAAAATAAAGAAGACATTTTAGTTCATTGACATTTAGCACTTATAGCTTTTTAAAATTATATTACACTCTATTGCATTACATTAACTGGGTGTTTCTACTGTTTTCTATTTTGGTCAACCAGCTACCAACATGCAAAAAAGTATTTTCATTTCGACTTTGATTAAGTTTTTGTTTGTTTTCTATTGTTGTTTTGAAAACTGAACATTTGATAATAGCTTTCAGGCTACCTGGGACTAAGATCTGGCGGTCCAAAGCAGGTGACGGTTGGGATAAGCAGCTTTGAAGGCTTTTTCTCGGCCCCCGACTCCCCCTGGGCTGAAGTTGAGGCCGTTGTGACTTTCGGGGAGCTGTGCTCTTTTTTCGACGGTGGCTGAGGGGATGAGCACTGCCCGTGGATGCCGCGGCTGAGGTTTGGTGAACGGCAGCGCCGCAGGGCGTTGAATTGCCGCAACTCATCCCCCAGGAGGTTCCCCAGTGAGGTACGCCGAACAGGGCTGCTGAAGTTGGGAAGCAGGAGGTTGCGACGGGAGCGGGTAGCTGGAGAGAGGTGGAAGGAGTCGTCCGGGTCATCCCCCTTAGTTTCCACCATAGAGGGGAGCCTGGCTTCCTGCAAAACAGCAAATACAACAGGCATCATTAATAACTGTACACTATGTGAGCTCTCACTACCAAGGGATGCACTGATCCCTAAACAGCATGGTTTGTTCTTGTGTTTGAGGATATGAAAACAAATTTGGAAATACTGGAGTAATAATTACATAAATGCTGAAATACTTACAGATATTGGAATTACGTTAAAAAAACTTGACCAATTTAAAATGCCACTCACAATACACAAATAATTTCACGAGTAATCCGGCAAATAAGCCTTTTGATAGCTGCTGATGAAGAGCCATTATTGTGTTATTTAGATTTTAATGAGATACAGCTGATGATATTTTAATCACATTAATCCTGCTACAGATCTATTACGGTCTAGTCATGGCTAACGGTGTGCTTGGCAGTAAAAACAATTGATTTTACATAAAATAAGCACTGTAAACAGTATTTTAATATTAGGAAGGCGGGGCGATAAGCATAGTGAGAAAAGTAGCTCATAAGGTTTCCTATTAGGAGAGCTACTGACCCAGTTAGTGAGCTAACTCCAGGGACTCAACATGCTCCGTCTGTTCCAAATGAGTCTCAACCTGCAGGGGAAGTCCTTCCACAAACCCTCCCACTAGCAATACAGTACTGAAGACCCAACAAAACCTGAGGGTGTTACCTTGAAAAACCAGACACGCCGGTTAAACGTTAATTTGATATGCATGACACAAATGCACCTTTGACAATTCGGGATAAGGAATAATAACAGCCCTAACAGAAGAAGAACATTTAATTTGAACTCACGTGGGGAAGCCTGGGTGACCTTGAAAACCTGCTGAGACCCTGCAGTAACAAAAAGAAAGCGACAGGGATTACAAAAGACACAGCCCCAGGCAAAACATATTAATATATTCAACTTCATGTCCTCCTTATCAAACCTTTAAACATTAAACTTAACCCTTGTGATGCCACATTAAGAAATGAAATGTGCCCTGTGGAGTTTTCTTATAAGTGTATCTTTGACGTCTAACAAACATGTCAAGTGTATTTCTTTCCTCATAAAACATCTGCAAAGCTGATTTTGAAGTATTTCAAATCCAGCATTGGCGCATTGCAGCATATCTTGGCGTGTTACCACCTGTTGATCAGTGGAATATAGTGTGACACCAGGGGAGGTCAAGAACTCCACAGGGAATATTGAATTCATTTTGATGATGTCTTTGCATTTACAGTATAAAATTCTAATTTGTTATCTACTGTTGTATCCACTTGAACCCTTTTGGAACTATCTAAATGACCGTGGCCTTTGATAAAGCCTTTGCTACACAAGCCGAATCACATAACTGATCCTTCGTCTACACTCGATTGCAAGGGGGATTCCGGTGAAAGTTTGTCTTACACCGTTGCAAGCAATTTAGCACAATCACCAGCTGGATGGCAAAATGAAACCGTGGTAGTGTGAAGTCTTCCTTCGTGTGTGAAAAACGTGCTTCTGACAGCATGGCTTAATGTGACAACACGAGCCACAGTCTATCGCTCCACCAGCACAGAGCAAGTAATGCTCTTTGATGCAGGAAGGCAATTCACTGAGGAAACGCATTCAATTTAATCCTTCATTGAAGCACAATACGGAGTTTAAAAATCATCTCCACCAGAAGGCGGTTAAAGCAAAAAATATAACTCTAGTTGTGAGACTTTGGACGGGGGTGAAAGTCTGTGAATCTATTTCAGGCAGGAAAAATTCTCCTCCTAACGAAGACTAACCCCGAGGCAATGTGGAGTGATTAATTAGCCAGCCAGGATTATCGGTGCCAAATGACATAAATTGAACATCAATAGCAATTAATGGGGCAAGGATGCCACAAGTGTCCCACATATCAAAATTAGTTTGCAGGGACTTAATTTCGGGACTTCTTCCTGTCACTCACAAGAGGGCTATCTTGTGTTTGCTCATGCAAAGAACAGACCTTACAGAACTTACAGAACAGCATACTTGCGCACACAAGAGTGTGTCAGTGTCTTGTATGTTGTGCCTCTTGTGTTTCAAATCCAGAGCACATTTTGGGTCAAATTTGAACTTTCCAGAACAGTTAAACAAATCTGAAACACAGACCATTGACAGCTGAGTGTAAATTCCTCCTGATGTATCTCAGAGTGAGAGGGGGAGCTGTCTGTGATATATTGTACTGAAGGGATGTACTTGAAATGACACTGTCACCTGGGACAATTGTTGTGACATATTTTGTCCTCTCCTCTGTGTATTCCTTCAGCCCACTCCTGGTTGGTATTTCTATCCCATCCAACATGTACTACACATGTTTCTAGCTTTTCAAACTTCTTTCACTCCCACGACTGGTTATCAGTGGCTGCCTTCGTCATCTTTGTTAAACTGTTGTTGTCATATGAGGCTCCAAAGGGGGTTGCATCCCTATAACCCCTGACCGGCCAGCTTGTTCTTCACACTCCATGACTACTGACTACTTAACTCTCCCATGGTCGTTAAAGTGGGACTCAGTGCTGGTTCCCTGGTGGTGTAATGACCTTCCCACTCTGCCAAGGAGAAAACAGTCATCCCGTATCTCTCTAAATCCACCTCCCTGAAGAAACAAGCATTGCTCCTCGGTCTATCAATCATTCCATACCAAATCATTCAACCTGACCTTAAAATTGCAATAACTGTTACACTATCAAGATATGATTACCTTTTAAGTTGCTAGTAGCTAACTGTGTCTGTCAGGTGCTGAGCAGGTAGAGCAGAAAATTGTTTTTTCATTGGAAACAGCTTCCTGGTGCGGCCAAAAACAACACTATGAGAGTCAACCTGGTCTCCTGCAAAATTACGTTCCTGTACAACTAAACTGCATTCTCAATTATGCTTCAGAGGGATCTCCAGGATTACGGTCGCAGCCATCCATCCCGACCTCCTCCCTAAACGGGCTTCCATGGACTATGATTAGAAACATATTTGTGATAGGTCATAAAGAAACGTAATCCAGGAGAATATGTTTACCTTGAATTGTTATTGAGGATGCAATTTTTTTTGCATTGGAAAGTAGTTTTGTAGAAGTCCACTACACAGTAAAGTTGTAAATGTTAAACTGTTAAACAAAACAGTGAGCTGAAACTCACAATAAAGCTCTGTAACGCCAAGGGGGGATGCAGATCAGGGTGATAATTCTCTATAGCTTCTATGAGCGACCCTTTTCAGATTTTCATTTGATACATAATAAAATATCAGTTCTAGCTGCTATGAAAAGTAATACCACTTAATAGCATAAAACACTTTTTGTCTCTGTAAAACTTTCATACTCTCTACCAAAACCTAATGAAAATAATTTAATCGACACCACATCAGTCAAAGCTATTCAATTATAGAGTTGACAAAAAAAATCATCAAACAAAATAATTTTCCATCTGGTAGTCTGGGGTTTTCCCTTTATTTGACAAGATAAAGTAGTCCCTTTTGGATACCTTATACTGTAATAGGCATTCCTACAATCTGTTTCTTTGGCAGTATTTCACTATGACTGATTGCTGAACAGTCAGCAATTCTCATGTATCTCTTGAGTGTAATGTGGACCTCCCATCATACAACAACTCCAACTGCAAACCACCCACCGTGAGGATGTGGATGAGACCAGTCCTACTGTATATGTGTGTGTGTGTGTGTGTGTGTGTCAGGAGTTATGGAACCTGGCAACTCGACCAGGTAGCTTGAGCATAAACTCTGAGCAGATGGCCTGAGACAGAGTTAGAGAGCTAGTTCTTGTGATCAGCCACGCCACAAAGAAGCCTGCTAGAATCATAGTTAAAGACTGTAAGAACTTTAAAAACGTGTATACGTTCATGGCCTCTATACACACAACATACAGTATTTGTCTTGGGAAAACCTTTCTCCAATAATGAGCTTCTCTGTAGTATATACAGTACATGGATTCTGCCAGGTGCCAAATGGTATCTATGATGTCTCTTTATGGGATGAAACCTCTCAAAAATTATAATTCTCTTCTTTTTGAAAACATCATCAATACAGTTTCACTCAGCCTGAAAAAATGGCATCCATTAACGAACATGGCCAGCACAGATGTCCTGTTCTTCATATTCCAAACCAAATGATTAAAACATTTTTTTAAATGAATGAACTAATGAGCAAGAAAGCCTTCAAACAATGGGAAAGGCCTGTGGGAGCCAAGAGGAATGCTTGAAGCTAGTACAAATGCTTGAGATTGACAATATTGATGACATTGGGAGTCTTTGGGGAGCTTTGCCAGCTTTGTCAGTCACACATGAAAGACAATTTGGCATTAATTTGTTTTGATTGCACGGTTCAACATAATGCCGTGCAAAACAGCCATTGCACTTTGTCACACTGTTTCTTTAATTAATGAAACTATTCAATTCCTGGGTTTCAAGATGCATCTTTATATAACAATGCCTGAAAACAGGTGCATTTTCTCCACAGATGGAGGATGGTCTTAAATAACTGTGAGGGGTAACAGGCAGCACTGAGAGGAGGTCAGTGTCTGGCTGTAATGTCATCCGGCTTTGCTTTGGGGTGGCAACAGGGAAGCGATACGGCTGCCTGACAGTGGCACCCACGCATTGTAATTGGTGTGACAATCAAGCCACCAACAGCCCTTTGGTCGTCGCGGTAGACCAAGTGTCAAGGGGGGGTTGCTCTATTCTATCAGACAGTGTGTGTGTGTGGAGGGGGGGCAATGAAACTAGATCTTGAATTTCTGAATTCTCTAGGCTTAAAAAACATTTTTGAGAGTTATAAATTAGGGATTGAATATGAAAAGACAGGCTTACAATTGAGAAAAAGGAAACCCTAATGACACATTTGATGAACACCAGTTTTCTGTTTGCGAGTGTATATTTAGTACCTCGTCCTGGCTGCCCTCACGCAGGTTGTAGGTGAGGTTGTTGTGGATGTCAGAGGTGAACACAGTGGCGTACTCAGGGTAGAGTTCCAGCACCTCTTTCAGACCGCGCACATTGATGTACTGGAGGTCACAATAGGTCAGCGCCTTCACATCAGCATTGGTCTTGATCACCTGGTCGGTTCCAGGCAGGTCAGACCCAATCAGGTCCCCTTTTCCTGAAATAAAAAACAGTAAATATTCACCGTCCTGCTCCACTACATAATCACCTGAAACATGATGCTAAAACAGTCCGGGCCACAATACCAACCTAATATTGCCAGCACCATGCTGTCTTTCAGCACCTCCAGGGACCCGGAGCAGACAAAGTAGTTGGCATGCAGCGCGTCCCCCTGACGGATGAGGTACTCCCCAGGGACACAGAAGGAGGTTTTTATATGGAGGGAGAGCGAGCGCAGGCAGCCACGACTGGCCCCCTTAAAGACCGGCAGCTGGAGGATGTCCTTATTCAGATGCATGGCGATGTCGGCCCGCAGCTCATCAGGGAAGTCATGCAGGAGCTGGGGATGTATGACAGATGTAATAAGGGGTGACACTCATTGGTATTTAGGGAATGGACTGTGTTGCCACCAGTTACCCTCTTTTGAATTTCAATCGGATGTAAATTTTTGGTGTACAGGCAGCCGATCATGAACAATTACAGCTGCAAAGGGTTTGTGAATGGTCTAAACATGACCCAGAAGTTTCTTGAGGGCAGACAGCAGCTTGTACCAAAGTATTACATGACAACAACAATGAAAGGGACTCCTACCTCGTTGGCATCTATGCCATTGTTGACAGACCATGTGGTCTGGAAGTACTCCAGCATGCGCTGTTTGATCTGCTGGGGCAGGCGGTGGACACGGATGAAGTCCTTCAGGTCCGTCATGCGTGTGTGATAGAGAGAGCGCCGAGAGTACATACGCTGAATGATGGCCGTCACGTTACCGAAGACCAGGGCGTGCATCAGTGCTGTGTGAGAGACGGAAACAAAAATAACGTATATTTGATCATATAGGCTGAATAGTTGTATTGCTACATAAAAAACGTACAATCTGACATTTTATTCTGAAGGCAGTTTCTTTTGGCCTTTTACAATTGGAATGGGTTTAATCACATCACTTTTTAGGTTGACTTTTACTTTTCAAAACACTTTTCCTGCTAATCCAATTTGATATTGATCATTACCTAATCATCTACATTTGTTACTGGTTATTTGCTTATTAAGCTACACAAAAGGCAGAGTCATTTACAGCTTTGTGCATATCACTGTTATGAAAAAAAAAAAAAATTGCCACACAATAATTATCTCCTGTATTGTTGAACCAATAATTGCCACCTCAGCTAAAATGATCTGTTTATTGGTATATCAAGATGGCAAAAAGCTATGTTTTAAAGGCCAGCCAAATCATCAGACCCACTTCCTGCTGAATCTCCAGCACTGGCGTGCCAGGACGCCAGAGGGAGAATGTACCCTGGTGTCAGACATACCGCCGATGAGCATGGTGCAGATGGAGAATATCTTCTCAGCATCGGTGTTGGCACAGACATTGCCGAAGCCCACACTGGTCAGGCTGCTGAGGGTAAAGTAAAGGGCAGCGATGTAGGAGCTGCGCACTGTCGGGCCGCCCACCGTGCTGTTGATGTAGGGTGTCTCAAGACGTTTGCCCAGCTCATGAAGCCACCCTTGAATGAGAAGGTAGAGCATGAGCAAACACTGTTCAAAGGTTATGGTTGATGTTAATATTATGTCTGAGCTCTGTCAGCTCTGGTGGTAGTGGCAGTAGTGGCAGTATGGTCATGCACTTCTGTCTCAGAGAGACAGAAGTGCATGTTTGGGTCTGTGTGTGTCTGACAGAGATTGTCAGCAGTTTCATGAGGCTGGCATGTCGTTGAGGGACAGGGCAGAATTAGATTGGCTCCTCCAGGGATAAACAAGACCAAGTGTAATTAGCAGGTTGGACCTAACCTCCCTATAGACAGAATATACCGCTACAACTCTAAGCGCAATCACACAATTAGAGACACAAACACACATGTTGCACAGCGGACTGGGTCAGATGTTTCATTTTGCTGTAGCCTACAGTATGTCACAGTATGCGTGTTGCTGTTTAAGGTTGTTTAAATAAATAGCATATAGTATATGGTTGTTAAACTGTCGGGTTGAACTTGGCTGCAGTCGTGTTGGAAGTAAGAAAAACCTAAACATGGTTACGCTCTTCGATCTGACGCAGGCAACTGTGTAAGAAAGAAGACAAGCGCTCAGATATTTCTCAGACAAGACATTACTGTGCTGCTTCCTTACAGTCGTTCTTTATTTTTTTACCAGCTTTTGATCCGGTTTCAGACAGTTCTCATTAGAGCCCCAGAGTATGGTGTTCGTCACTATTTCACCACTGAGCAGAGCTAGACACGCCAATAGGTGAGCAATGACTATTTATAGCTAAACGGGAAACAACAAAAGCAAAATGTAGTCTTATTTGTTGTCATTTTTGCCTATTTAAACAGAGAAAACACATGACTTACACGGTAAGTGAAACAAGTCTGGATAGTCAACACCATGCTTAAATTATGAAATGAGCACTCGGAATATGATATACTGGATTTGTTTAATAAATGATGTTGCATGGTAAAAATCAGTTGGAACTATTACTTCATTCATCCTTCACAGAAAAATGATGCTCTTGCTGGTTGGAACCCCAAACCTGACCTTCATACCTCAACAGCTTCCTCTTAGCAAGGCCTCAATCAGACTCACCAATGTCCCAGGTCTCATTGGTCTCTATCTCTTTACGTCCAATCATGTACCAGATGCAGGCCATCCAGTGTGCCAGCAGGGCAAACACAGACATGAGCAAGGTCAGCACCATGGCGCTGTACTGGGAATAGCGATCCAGCTTCTGCAGCAGACGAAGGAGGCGTAGCAGGCGTACCGTTTTAAGCAGGTGGACGAGGGAGGTCTGAGGAGGAGAAGCAAGTATGGGGGGGGGGGGGGTGGTGACAGAGAAAAGGAGAGAGAAAGTTAATCCCTTGGTTTTGTGTTGTTTCTGGAAAGACACTGTGACTGTACATATACAGCATATATACACAGCTGAATATCACAGCTTGAACAAGCGGCGACTTGTTTTGCTCAAACAAATGTTCTTATCTTGTGTAAAATTCACTATTTAGGGAGTAGTCACATCGGCAGGCAGGCAGCAACAATAGCCGCCTTGTGGAATGCAAGGTGGTGCATTTTAGAGGTTAAACATTTCAGGGATTATTTATTTATTTATTATAAGTAATCCATTTGCTGCATGTCAGCAGTCCCAGTGAAAAAAAAAAAAAAAGACAGCTGAACATATCCAGTTGCACTCACCACTGTGATGTTGAAGGCATACAGCAGGTCGAAGGGCAGGGCAGCCACCAGGTCCACAAAGAACCAGGTGGTGGCGTAATGAATGCAAATGGAGCGCGCCTCGTACACCACCTGCCCTGACTGGCTCACATAGGTGGTGCGGAAGTTTAAGATGATGTCTGCAAATACAAAGGTAGTAGTTTTTTCCCCCCCAGTGACGTAAAGACGGTATTGTCATATTCATTAAAATGGATGAGGTCAGACTTTTATGCGTGTTTGACTGATAAAATTATAAACACATTGTGTACAGTGTGGAAAGATCACAAGCTGAGTTTCAATCCCAGTGGTTCAATTGTATGTGATATATACTTAAGACCACACCACAATGTTTGTCATTCACACTTTTGAAAGTATAGAATGAGTAGTGTACCAATTTAAGTCATTGTTTTAATGCATCCATATGAATCAGCAAGTTTGCAAGACAGATCATTTTCATCTTAGTGTCAGAATGTGGCAAGCACACATAACAAGCAGACCTCTGGGTGTATGGTTTGATTTAAAAAAAAAAAAAAAAAAACCTTATCTGTCATCCAAGCTGTTGATATTTGCAGAGCTCTTGCCTCATCACTCAATACAAATCTCAGTTATGAGAAGCTAAAAGGTAAGATGATGATAATGATTTCTGCTCACACAGCAATGTGCAGACCAGTGTTAACTGCAAAAACCATCTAAATTAAAAACAGTGGACACCTCATGTCCAATATACCATATTCCCTGAATGTGTTTGGCTAGCATGCCATATTTTGGGTGCTATACTGTATGAGGCAGTTTCCACTTTTTTTGAAGCAGCAACCTATCAATTACATTACTTCAAAAGTCAAATTACAATAAAAAAAAAAGTTGGCTGGTATCCTCCCTCTTCTTGCCAAGTTGAGGGACTCAGACGTGAATATGAAATAATTGGCTTGATGGTGGTCAAACCACAATTTTGAACCTATAGTGATCAGTTCAGCACAAGAACTTCAGGGCAAAATCAGGGAGCCACGTCTTCTTTTCGACACTCACCTATAATAAAGAGCATTTCCACCACAATGTCGCTGACAATGGTGGAGCGCGCAGCTGTGACGGTGTCATCGTACGGCGTGAAGCTGACGTTGTAGGGCACGGTGACAGCCACATAGAAGGTGGCCAGCAGAATGAGCCAGTCCCACAGGGCTTTAGAGATGCTGTAGTGGAGCAGAATGAAGCGCGACTTCTGCACCGCTGCCACCTTGTACTCCGGTATTGAAGGCTTGTTGATCATGCTCTGTAGGAGAAGTGAAATGTATCTTGGTCAGAATGCATACACAGTCATATACATAAATGTGCAAACAGTACATGCATGCTCACACACAAATAGCTTTTTAAATTTTTAAGCTTACATATACAAAAGCACATCAGAGAAACTGCATACATGAATAACTTGATAACCAGATGGTCATGAGGTGGAGTGCTGTGAAAATAAATGGTAATCAGATGGACATTGCTGTGCCAAGATTTTGCAGAAACAGACAATATAAATGTCAGCGCCCTCTCTTGTGATATGACCGGTGATGATTCAATACGGTATGCAACTCAAGCAAAACAGATATGGTAATGCTGCTGGTTATCTATTCATGACAGCCTCCTTATAGACGGTGATAAAACCTTGAAATGACCATGCAGTAATAACACACAATGACAGACACAGGACTGTGGTCAGTGAAGGGGAAACTTATTACCAACAATGACGCATGATAATCTCATACATGACTTGGCCTAACTTCATCCCTCCAAATGCCATAAGTGCTTTAAGTATCAGGTGGTACGGTACAATGGCCATCATCTGCTTTTATTTTTGAAAGTCCTGCCTTTTCATTCCACTCATTACCTTTTTTTTATTGAGAAAATCCAATTGCAGAAAGCATGAATTGCTACTGCTGATGAGGTGGAATCCATTCGGCACATAATGAGAGAGCAGTTCTCTAAATTGAGCCACGCACTTGGCACTTAATAGCCTTTAACCATTTAGGAGACAGGAAGAGAAGCTATTACCTTTGACGGTGGTGAGAGGGATACGGAAAGATAAATGAGAAGAAATTCATCAAAGAACAATGTGGTCACTTCACAAACAGGTGTGGGTGAGCGAAAAGGGAGGCTTTTAAGGGCTCTGAAGCAGACTTGAAGGGAATAGACTGACAATTTGAAAGTAATTGGGAGACAATGGACAGCCTTTTAAAAAGAAGTCTGTACGAAGAAAGAAAAGGAAAGATCATCAAATTGTTCCTTGTGAGATATCTGTCATTATATTGGAAGCAAAAATGTCCAAATTGTTCAAAGGGATACAACTTTCAGAACTGCATCAGTGATGGTTGCTTGACACTGGATCATTTCTGGTCAAAACATACGTGATTCATCATCATATCCCTCAGTCAATTGTCACCACAGTGTCGAAATCTAGAAAGACCATGCTGACTGACTGTCATCAACAGCTGGGGCCACTTGAATCAAGCAACGTCAGCAAAAGCGTGACTGTTTTTTTAATTTGCCTTACAGTGCGCCACCTGACCTTTGGCACTTGAGGCAGTCAGCCGAGCACATCCCAATGATTAGAAAAGAAAAGCCCAGCACTTCGAGGACAGCGCAGAGATTACTGTTCCAACTACATCTCCCAGTATGCTTTGGGCTTCAGCACTGACAACAGCCTGTCCTTGAGGGGGAAGAGGATACACACACGGCTTACCATGTGACTCAATCATTCCCTCAAGCACATAATCTAGACGACAGCAGAGGATCGCCGGCCTTTAATTTATACCCCAAAATATTAGTTAGGCCTAACTTTTTATTTCCAACAATGCAACGGAAGTACAACACAATAAAAACTGTAAATTACCACAAATTCGCAACTAAGGAAATACCAGTCAACACTATGTACTAACGCTATGTACTTATTATATGATTGTATGTTCACAACACAAACGACACTTTGCAGTATGATCTTTAGTTTCAACAATCTAGTTTTCTCCTTCAATAAATTGTGTTACAGCAAGAGACTAAAGATAAATATTTCCCTTCTGAAAGTGAGGAAAAAAAAGTAATATGTGAGAGTACAGGCCATGGACACAAACTATGAGCTCTGTATTTCACATTAAGCCGAAGAAGTATTTGAATCGTAACTTCAAAACGCCTCCAGCTTTATAGCTCTTTGACAAGTTTATTACAGTGAAAAGAGGCAATAGTGGTTCTCCCCTGGGAAGTGTTTAAAATCAAGTCTGAACTACTTGTCAGTGTGCCTGGTTACAGTGAATAACACACTCATGGGCTGACAGCATCAAAACTGCCAGAACGGACAAAACTACATCTCAGTTTGTGTTTGGTAAAGAGCCTTCAGGCAAAGAAAAACTCAAGCTGAACATGTTTCTGGGGAGGCGACGTAGTGTGTGGAAGACCATTTAAAAAGTATGCAACCTCTGCAGTCGGAAAATAAGGTACAGAAAGTGCAGTGGAAATGTGAGACTTTTGAAATCAGTTAATGGATTTCCTTTTGTAATTATTGATACTTTAAGCATTTACTTCTCTTTCTATGTGTTATGGTTGTGCTCTGATCTAAAGGTCTGTGCATGTGTCTATGTCTTTTCCAGCAGAAAGACAGCTTCCCCTTGTTCTTTCTTGCCTGGGAGGCTGAAGCGCTAAATGGAGATCTAGCCAGAGTTGCTGGCTGTGGTGTGGAGGCAGAGGAAGACATTGTTAGCTCACTGCTAGAGAGACAGACAGACAGAAACAGACCGAGAGACAAAGCTAGAGAAAGATGGAGGGGGAGACAGACAGAGAAGAATGAAAACAGAATGGGAAAAATAGAGTCATAGTCAGAGTGGGAGGATGGCAGTGGTGGAAGAAGTAGTTTGACCCATTACTTAACTTAAAGTAGCAAAACCACAATGTAAAAATACTCCATTACAAGTTAAAGTCCTGAATGCAATATATCAGTTGTATAATCAGTCAAAGTGTCAAAAGGTAAAATGATTCATTATGCAGAAATATGGCCGTTGTTCATCATCATCATCATCAATCATCATCTGAGTTAAAAGCTATTAACTTTCAGAAAATGTAAGTCCTGGAGTTAAATACAAGAAGGCTATACTTTAATATTGCACTAATATGAAAAAGTAAGTATTGGAGGTTCAGGTTGGAGTGGATGGAGGGTTACAAAATTCGAGCAGCAGGAAAGAAAGAGGAAGCGTGACAGATAACTGAAAAACAGAAAAAAATTGGACGCCACAGAGTGACAGATATACGGGGAAAGACTGCTGGATACAGAGGGATGAAGCCAAAGAGAGATGAGGGTAGTGACAGATGGAGAAGGAGGGAGGGGGGAGGGGAGAAAGAGAGAGAGAGAGAGAGAGAGAGAGAGAGAGAGAGAGAGAGAGGGGGGAGAGAGACCATATAATAGCGGATAGAGAACAGAGAAGAAAAGGGTCTAAAGCTAAAAACAGGGAGAAACTGAGGGCACTGAAAATGATGGGAATGAGAGATAAAGATACAGAAACAGACTTAACGTTAACTCTCTCCATTGCCAACAATGAATGCCCAATGACTTGGCTTATTTTCCAGCGGTGGCGACAGTCTAAATTACAAATAAATCCCACACGCCTGGTCGCTGGCGGACGCGTCTGGAGTGGCATTTGCTCCAAGTCATTCAATTCACACATTTAGCGTACACAAAAGTATTATATCGAGTTAGCTACATACCCGAATCACAGCCTGTATCCCAGCCCACCGATGCATTTTTGTTCCCATTTTATCTTTCCTTTAGTAGCGAGTTTAATGTAGCGTTCTTGTTAAGTCAGGTTGTTATTATTATTATTATTATTATTATTATTCTGACAACCGAAAGTTAGCTAAACTAGCTCAGAAGTGCGTGAAGAAACAGTCCAGTGAAATTGTGTCTAATATGGGCCTTCAAATGTGTAAATTGGCTGTGTTAGGACAGTTGACTGTCCAATCATATCATGAAACAATGTGTAAATATTTGTTCCTAATCAATACTCACTGATATGTATGATGCAACATGAACTGCACATCTATAAATATAAAATGAATTAGCGGTCAAATATCCAGAAAGACAAAACAATACCTTGCAGAAATGGATCTGATTTATATTCCAACCGTCAACGTTTTTTGTCTGCATCCAAAAACACAGGTTGCCTTCACGCGTGATATGTCTGCTTACTGATTTTCATGTCAAATTGTGAGTTATAGGTTAAGCTTGTTTTTTGTCCCCTTGTGGGAATTCATAATTAAAATCTCAGTGGGTATTAATAAACTCTTTAAAATGGCAATTCGCCCAGTGGTAGCATAGGGGAACAGTAGAGGGTGTGTGCATGTGTGAAAAGGAGAGGGAATGAGAGACCAGAGAGCAGGCTGTGAACACGTCAAACACTCCGTTTGCTGAATTTCATATTCCAACAATTTGTATATATCATCCACGTGCGAGACAGAAAGAGTGTCTTGGTGTGAAAAGTCTCGTGCTGAGAGTGCTGGAATAAAATCTGAATGAAAAATATTGTGCATAATGATTGTGAATGTTATGTTGTTTTACCATATGTTTGTCTCAAGCCATCATTTTCTGTCTGTTGTAAATGTGTGAATGCGTTTCTGTGTGTGTATGGTGTCTGTGAACAAGGCCATCTGTAAGTAGGTGGGATTGGAAGCAGGGCAGCAGGAGGTTTGGCAAACAGAGGAGAGGTGCAGGTCTGGTCTGAAAGCAGCAGCAGAGCTCTTGTTTCTCGCAGTGTTAGCAGCATGCGGGTCAAGTTCATGTGAGGGTTTGTATCACCGCCTTTACAGAAACTGCAATTTGGGTGTTTTTTCTAAATTCTAACTACTTATTGTGTTTGGGTAAACCTTTAATTATTGGGTCTTCATATTATAATGATATATAAGTGAGAGAAGCAGCAAATCCTCACACTTAGTATAAGATAAGACAATGTTTGACATTGTTTGATGAATTATTAATTAATACATTTTCTGTCAGTGGACGGACCAATGTATTGACTGTCAGCGCTAGTAATTTAAATATCTACAGTACAAAGTAAATGTCATGTCCTTTGGGCCCCTAATAACAGTTAAATATGGTTCATCTTCGAATGTAAATGTGCTTCAATTAGAAATAAAAAGGCGTTCTTTTCTTCACTCTGACTTTCCCCCTTATTTTCTTGTTCTCTCTTCTTAGTTGATGGTCTACAACATATCTGGAGTTGGCAAACACGTTTGGCCGGTCACTGGAAAATTATGGTGCGCTCGAATGATAAGAGTCCAAAAGCCTAACTTCATGTCAGATTCATATCCTGTGTTTGCAGCTTTTAGCAATACGTGTTACAGGGAAGGGAAGCAAAAAAGTTGGTGTCAAGTAAGGGGCATACCATTACCAATACCGTCAACATTTAAAGTGCTTTAGAGTTCCAGGCACCTAAAAGGGTGAATGAATCTCTTTAAATATACACAGCCGCCTTTTTTTCTTTTTCAAACGTTAATAATAGCCACTTGAATCACACATGTCTCACAGGTTTTCAACTTCTTTTTTTTTTTTTCTTTTCAACATTTAAATTTACCCCTGAAACGTTCTAAATTGCTTTCAGCCCCCCTGGGATGAAACGGCACATTGTGAAGGACAGGTTTGAGTACAGACCCAGTTGGTAACTGAGCCTCTGCAGGGAGGAAGCGGGATTATCTCAAAATGATGCTTCGCTAGAAAAAACTGCTCCTGTTTGCTATCTGAGAGCAAAACAGGAGCTCGTTCTCATGAATAACATTTGCCTGGAGTGTAGTGCGACTTTATTATTCAAAGCCTACGAAGGCCTTTGTTCCGACTATAGCTAGGGTCTATTTCACCACAACAACGTACCTTTTAAGGTACTTGAAACACCCACACACACTTAAAAGCCAGGCAATTGCATCGGCAAAATGACACACTTATCTGAAATGAGTTGTACATATATATGACAATGTATAGAAGCATCAGACACCACAGTCTCATCGGAACCTACTGTAAGGGTAAACGTAATTTAAGGGAACGCGCTGGTGACATAATGACCTACATTACAGGACTCCTACTGGCGAGGTGTTGGCATGTCCAGACAGTCCCCCCCCCCAAAAAAAGTGACTCATCAAGCTTCGCCTATGACCCGCAACACCTCACCGTCAGTGAGAACCATATCTTTGCCTCCCAGCAGCCACGGCTGCCGCAGTGACTTTGAGATTTGTCCATTTAAAGCCACCAAACAACAGCTTCCATGCAAATAAATGCAACAGAAGCAATTTAAAATCATTCAGTGGACTTAAAGTACTAAACCCATTCAATGAATTTTCCAGATAAGCCACACTCTGGGAATCTGGGTCAAGACTTCCCTTATATTGTCTTCCTAAAAACTCATCTTTTAGTTATTAACATTAATGATTCAAGTTCCAGATTGAGGGGGCTGCACGTCTGAGTAACTCCTGTTTATTTTCGTCGAGGGTATGTCAGCACACATAAAAACACCATCATAGACAATCAGGAAGTATGTGAGAGCGGTGAAAGTACTCACGCCACCCAGGTTGACTTCTCGTTTGCCTCCCCGCGAGAACTGGCTGGTCAGCTGGTACAACATGGTGCGTCCACGCTTCCTGGCCTCGACGAAGTGGGCGCTGCTCTTCCTCCTGCGCCTCTTGTCCTCTGACCCTGTCGCACAGATTAGCACATGTCAATTCGATCACAAGGAAGACAAAGAGCACCTGAGAGGAACAATGTGTCATTTCAGGCCTGAACTTTGGTCAGGATTTAATGCTAAATATTCTTTCATGTTCCACAAGTAAGACACAACAACACAACCACTGATATGTACTTCATTATAAGAAAAAATGATTTCCCCTGGATAGCTGCATGATATCTTCAACAGACTGTGTCCAGGATCCACATGAGGACTACTGCCCAAATCAAACTCCCCCTTTTGAAAAACATCGTCTGAAGGAAAGCCAGCCTAAACAAAACCTGCAGGGCAGCGTGTGACAGTGATGAACAAGAGCGTGCGGAGAAAATGAGAGCCGGGGGCCGGGAGGATGATCTGCTCGTAAATCATGCTCCAAGTAAGCAAATAAAGGCAGTTGTTTTGTAAGCAGGGCTTGGAACCTACCCTCCTTCTTGCTGTTGTGGTGGCCCCTTCCATAGGTGTCAGAGATGTCCTTGAATGAGAAGAGGAAGAGAACCATTTCGCCCTTCTCATTCTTTATGGGCACGATGTCTAGCAAACACCAGAAGGCCACGCCTGGGGATCAGAAGTCTTCATTTAGTGAATGAAGGAAAATCCTCAACAGACACATCCAGAGTAAATGTGATGCATCTCATTAATGACTTCAGTTCCCGTGTCATGTCAGCTCTCACCATGTCCGAGCCGTTCATACTTGTCAAGTATGGCATAGCCTTTCTAAAAATATACCTCCAATTAGATGGGGACCATGTCCGGGAGGATTGTGCACAAAGAGAAAGTCAGAGGGTTGGTTATAACAAGTCGGCAGTCGAGGAGCATCATAGATCTCTACGACCTGTATGCTCATTAGCAACTCTGCAGAAACGGTGCACTGCCAAACAGATGTTTCACTTCTATCATAATGTCCCTAGTGTGTGTGTGTGTGTGTGTGTGTGTGTGTGTGCTGTAGATAAGGATAGAGGAAGAAAACAGAGTAGATGCTGGTGTTTTAGCACGAAGCTGTGGGTGTAAATACACAATACGAAAAGCTATTTATGTGTTTTGTGCTTGCAAGCAGCAGGCGCCAGTGGTGGAATGTAACTCAGTACATTTATATTAGTACTTTGCACAAATATTTGACAGCTTTTGTTACTAGTTACTTAACAAATCAAGATTTTCTAAATTCAAAACTTATGAAGAGCTTATAAAATATGACATTTTGTTATAAATTAAACTACCCAACAGTCTGTACGAATTAAGCTAAAACAATTCGTCGATTAATCAATTAGTTTAATTAAAAGGAGCAGTGGATTCAGCGGCCTCTAGTGGTGAGGTTGCAGAAACATGGCGGTGTAACGCGACGGACTCCGTGAAGAGGACATAAACGGCTCATTCTAAGCAAACGAAAACACCACGGTTCTTACTTTCAAGTCATTATACATGAATGAAAGCACAGTTATGAATATTATATAACATTTATAGCAATAAATTCCCCTAAATCCTACACACTGTTTGTCTAATTGGCAACAATTTTGATAATCTTTTAAGACATTTCATGGTTCCAGCTTCACAAATGTGAGGATTTTGCTGCTTTGTGTTTTCAATTATTTCAATAATTCGAATTTTTTTTCAATCATTTTGGAATTTGAACTATTGGTTGGACAAAACAAGCATTGTGAAGAAGTCAGTGTGGGCTCTGGGGGAATGTGACGGCATATTACAAATGATCGTGTCCTTTCCCTTCATTACTTGCACTGGCACTGCCTTGCTGTTACTTACTTACTGTCCTGTAAAAAAAAAAAAAAAAGACAAGAAAAAGTAACCAACTACGGAGCAGATTTGATAATCCGTCAGCGTAATTAGGGGTTCGCACACTTTGAGGCTGCAGGTTTGGGGACATAATCCCGCGTGCCGATCAGAGAGGCTTAAACAGTGTCGTATGTTCTCTTTCATGCATGACATTGTATTTAGAGGAGGAAGGAATGGATTGAAACTACACTAATAAGCACACACACACATAGACAGTATACAGTACTTTGTCCCTCATTATCCATATCATACATACAAGAATAATCGGCTTTGGAAATATGTATTCAAGACTTTGAGCTTGTTATTCCAGCACACAAGTTCACTCCAAGCACCTTTTGCACTCACATTGAACGGATCACCAAGAAGAACGGACTGCAGATTTTCACTCGACTTTATACTTTCCTATTAATAAGAATGAACACTTACTCTGCACAAAGAGAATGTATTGCACCGCTGACCTGCTGTATTTAAAATCTGGGATCACTGTGGAGATTCATAATTCAACCAAAATATTCAGCTCTCATCTAAAAATGAATGTGCTCTTCATGATGGTGAGAACAAAAGAAAAAATCTAATTTACTGAACAGATTATCAGAGCCTGATCAAACCAGAACAGGATTCAGGTTAATAGTTAATAGAAAAGTTTGATGAACTGAACACAAGATGACAGGAATGTTAATTGCCAGATAAGGTTTTCACGACAGTTATGTCGACACATTTAGGCTCTCCCCTTCTGGTCCTCTTTGCCATGCACCCACCATTCTTCTTGTAGAAGTGGACCTCGGCCTGGTACTCTTCTCGGCCCTCCAGGGCCTTCTCCATCTGATGGGCCACGTGCTCGCTGGTGTCGGTCCCGTACAGGAAGCGGCAGCTGCAGTTCTTCTGCATCACCTCGGTTCTCGTGAAGCCCGTCAGTTCGCAGAAGCCGTCTGAGCAGTAGACGATGGGGTAGCCGCGGTGGCCCTGAGCGTTACCCAACAGGAAATTACTGTCTGTGAGAAGGACAGGGAAAGGTGTTAGAGGAAATGGAGCATCATGTATGAAGGCAAATCACTGAAGAAATGACTGAACTAAGTGTGGCACTATTGTGCCACACTTTTCAGATTTTCTTTTTGACACTAAGTGGGCGGACCCAGTCACCATTGTATAACTAAATTGAATTCAATTTAGTTATATAATGGTGACTGGGTCCGCCCACTTAGTGTCAAAAAGAAAATCTACTCGCTAGCGAGCAGGTGAAAGTTTTGCGAGCGAGCAGGCGAAAGCTTCGCGAGCAGAATAGCAGTGGTATTAGTCGTGCGCTAGGGGATGCCCCTCGCGCTCAAAGCATGGTTTTCTCCACGCAGGCCGAAATTTTGCTCACGTGAGCAAAGATATTCTGCGTAGAGTGATGTGAAAGCGCTCGCCAAAGTAATATACGTGCGCGGCTGTTTGATTTGCACGCGGCGCGTGGATCTCATTTGCGCTTTCAGATTTTGACAGTGATTTGCCTTCATAATCATGGAGGCAGAAAAAAAACTGTATGAGATGAAGTTCAAGGCCAATGTGAGACTTTTTTTTCTTTTAAACATATAAGGAGTAGCACCGTGTTTCAGTCTAAAGTTTGGTGCAAATTTGTTCATTGCACTAGAATCAAAGTCTGTTTAGCTCTTGAAGTTATTTCAAAGCTTTGCAGGTTAACTTCAACACTAGCTTACAAGTTCAAATAAACATGAATCGAACTTTGGTGTGGACTCAATTTCAGACTAAATTAATTTCCCTGAGCAGTCGTCGTGTGGCTGGTTGAAGAAAATGGCTCCTGGGCTGCAAGATATAAAAACAGCTGACTGGAGTTCAAAGAGAGCACAAAGGTTAGTGATGTAGTGATGTAAATCCAAAGGACCCAAAGCGTAAAAACAAAAACAAGATTGCATAAAAGAGGAGAGATGCATAAGTTGGTAAATAAGTGACTTCGGGATGCGTTGAAATGAATGTATTCTTTAATTCATTATGTATTTGGATTCTGATATTGCAGAAGAGATAATCAGACAGAAAACACACAATATGTTCCACCACTTTCATGTAAGAACATTTCAATCCTTTGTAGATCTCAGTCTGGTCAAATGGGTGTATATTTTCCTTTCATATTTATCAATACACCTTCAATACTAACATGTGTAGTCACACGACCCCTTTCACACTCCACCCAACTGTTATGAAGGGATTGTGAGTGTAACGTTAAATTGATTGTCTCTGATTTAAAAATGTAAAATACATTGCATGAATTAACTTTGGACGCACGTAAGGACAAATATATAGGATTATGTATTTTTTATATAACTACAAAAAGTGCATATTTCAAGCTAAATTACATCATTCTTATGAAAATGGCTTTATATTAAATCTTTATTCAGGCTCTTGGATGGATTGAACCTAATTTTAAAATCCAATAAAACATTAGAATATTATCAGTGTCCCATACATGTATGCTCCCAGTTCGTCGCATGTTCATCTCAAGCCTCTGACATTAAATGGAAAAATGCAATATGCCTCCATCACCTGACGAAAATCCACCATATCCACACATCTAAATGTCTGATTAAATTGGTGAAATATTAAGTCTGGTGAGCAGGCTTTTACATCACATGGATCATATGATGTGGATATCACCATTGACGATACCGTGGTGACGCCAACTCGGACTGCGAGGAACCTGGTTGTGACCCTGGACGACCAATTGTCATTCTCAGCAAACATTGCATCGGTTACATGCACCTGCAGATTCCTGCTCTACAACATCAGGAGGATTCGCCCCTTCCTCACCGATGAGACGGCGCAGGTGCTCATCCAGGCTCTTGTCATCTCCCGCCTGGACTACTGCAACTCACTACTTGCCGGAGCCCCGGCGTCGGCCATCAGACCTCTGGAGCTTGTCCAGAAAGCTGCAGCTCGCCTGGTGTTCAATCGCCCCAAGTTCTCCCACACAACTTGCCTTCTCCGTTCTCTACACTGGCTCCCTGTAAGAGCTCGCATCCAGTTTAAGACTCTGGTGCTAGCCTACAGGGCAGTGAAAGGAACAGCTCCTTCCTATCTCCAGGCCATGGTCAAGCCCTACACCCCCGCCCGACCACTTCGCTCTGCTGCCTCGGGGCGATTGGTTGCCCGGTCGCTCAGAGGTCCCTGCGGCCGATCGAGGCTGTTTTCTGTCCTGGCCCCACAGTGGTGGAATGAACTCCCCACTGACGTCAGGACAGCGGAGTCGCTGCCCATCTTTCGGCACAGGCTGAAACTCACCTCTTCAAGAAGGCCTACATCGAGCCTTCCACTTAGCATTTACTTAGCATCTATTGTATTCATACTAGCTTACTGCACTTATTGTATTCATATTAGTTTGTGGCACTTATTGCATTCGTTTGTTTCTGCACTGTACGTTGGCTCTTGTTTGAGGAGAGGAGATGCACTTTTGACTTCTGGTGACTAGTAGTTCTCTCGAAAACCGATGTCAAATACACTTATTGTAAGTCGCTTTGGATAAAAGCGTCTGCTAAATGACTGTAATGTAATGTAATGCAATATTGCACTCCACTTGAGCTGTTCATTCAGCACCAAAGCATATTAGCTTTGCATCGGCATTGTTTCTCGTCTTGCTTTCAGCACCACGGACAGTTCTCCAGCAGCAACAGGCGTGTGCCAAAGATGCCAAAGCTACCAGTGGAAGGAGCTTTGAAATACAATACATTTCAAAACAGAATACACAGCAGCATACACCGTGCAACAAAATAGTTGAGGGGCTTCCATTTAATAATATTTTTCAGTATTTGATGAATGGAACAGATACACAGCCTAACATCAGCTAATTACCAGCTGACAGCATGTCATTTTTATTTTTAATAGTCAGTTTGGTCAAGTTTGCATTCACATTGTCACTTGTAGCAACAGTTTCCGGACATATTCATCACTTTTAGATAACGATTTCAACTTTTCTTCTCAGAAACAGAGGGCTCAAAGTTGCAGGGTTACTTGTTATTGGGACAATAAATATGTTCATTTTATCATCGCTGATTTGTTAACCTATTTGTATGTGTGGGTGTAATGTTTTTAATCTTTTTTTCAAATTCCATGTACCCTCTATTTACTGCCGAAGTACCTCATGCAGTACAGGCACTGCATATGTGTGGATATTTGTTTGCAAATTATTCGCAAAAATCAGCACTGAGGCATCAAACTTCGCTCCACAGTAACTGACATATTTCTGCCGCTTAACTGAAAACATAAGACTCCAGATTTTCTGAAATGCCGAGCAGAGAGGCAGCGCGCATACTGTACAGTGTGACTTCTCGTGCCTAAGAAGGAGGAGTATTAAGCAGCAGCTACAGCGCTTTCCACAATCTAACACTTTAATTGGCCAGACTGAGCAGAAAGCAGTCCATAGGGGATGTCTTTTCTGAGCGGTGACAACCTTTCTAGGGTGTGCAGTGAGCAGCAGTTAAACTGTCACTGTGGAATTACAGAAAGAGACAGGCATTAGTCGGATCTATCAACAGACAGAGGAGGTTTTATGCTAATGCTATGCTTTGCTACATTTGCTGTTCCCCAGACTTTAAAATAGAGAAGCGGAAATATTTCTGCTCCACACATCTGCTGCAGATCTTTGTGTTTATTGGTGTCATGAAGAAAGACTGCAAAGTGATAACTCTTTTTATCACGTGTCAGATTTCTTTTGCACATAAACTCTGAAGACAAGCTCTGGTATACCGTCTCTACCTTTTCAAATCTAAAAAAGAAAACTCCCTAGGAACAATGGCTGAACACGATGTGTTAGCCTATCCTGTTGAAAAGGGAAAGAAAAAACATGCCCTCTTTTTCATGTTCTATAAATTTCTAACACCCCAACTCAGTGAGCCAGGAAGTGTCGGAGAGCAACCACATTCATCTCTGGTTTATGTAATGTTTACCTAAGAATAGGTACATCTCTACTCAGCATCCCTAAAGCAGTCCTTCAAGTAGGTCAAGGGCAGGTGTAGTCGTAAATCACTTTGTAAGGATGCTTTAAAACCAACGAGCCACAATAGGGAAAAAACTTTTATGCTGCGTTTGAAGAAATGCAAACTGCTGCTTCACGCCGTAGATTAGACCAGTTTTTAAAGTTATCTGCATGATTCAGAGTCAATTTGTTCAAGTTGGGAAACTCAAGGTTTTCCTCAAATGCTAAAAATCAGGAGGGGTCAATTCTTAGTTTAGGTAAATTGCATTTAAAGCAATAGTTGAACATTTACTTGCTGACAAAAGTTAGACGAGAAGATCTGTACCACTCTCACGGTACTGTGAAGCTACAACCAGCAGCTGATACTTCATGTCTCGTTTAATCATCTATACAAAACGTCCTGTTGTAGTTTTACAGGGCATTACTGATGACAACTAGCTTAGAAGTCACGGCTTCGTCTCCTGCCTCTGTGCTAAGCTAAGCTAACCGACTGCCGGCTCCAGCTACATATATACCGTACAAACATGGTATCAATCTTTTTCACCAAGAATGTTCCCAAAAAGTAGAACTATTCCTTTAAGATATTGATGAATGTGCTGTTTCTGAATGGAGCATTTTAAATCCTGGAAATCCTCTGATGTGGTCTTTGAAAAAAAACAAAAAAAAACCACTTCAACAAACGCATACTTATTTTTTCTCTGGTAAAGCAAGCAGTCCAGTGGACCCCACTTGATAAACCACTTCTGTGAGAGAGTGTGTGTGTGTGTGTGTGTGTGTGTGTGTGTGTGAGAGAGATTGTGACAATGCCTCAATTCTTAGGCCGTAATCCTCTCAGGGATATTGCTTTGACTGGTTGCTCCGCTGCACCAGCTTCCTTAATTACACATCTGTGCTGACTTGCTACAACTGTAATCTGACATGATGATGCTACATGTTACTACTGACAGCATGCAGCCTGCATCGTGTCCATTTGGCACAGGTTCCTCTGTAAGACGGATGAAGCCCATGAGGCTTGGCCACTGACTCACCAGCTAATTACCACCCAGCAGCATGTAATTACTTATTGGGGCAGATGGGTTAGAGTGCAAGGAGAGTTAGACTTGCAGGGGGAAAAGGTCACTGGAATGCGGAAATCATCAATCATTTGATATATATTTTGATATCAGTGATAAAAAAAAAGATTGTTTTTCAACAACATCAGGACCAAATAATGCTAGGTTTGACAAAAGGATCTGTGCTATTGTGTTCTGAATCATAAAAAAAGCCCAAAAGGACTGCATTTATGTCGTGGCTTTATTCTGAGAATGGTGCAAAGTGCTCTACAAAGCATCACACCCACTCACACCTACATTCACACACCGGTGGTGGCGGAGCTCCCACGAAAGGTGCAGACCTGCACATCAGGAGCAGATTTAGAATTTTAGGGCCTACTCAATAACACATATTCAGGAGGAGCCAGGTACCAAACCACCAACTCTGCTATTACTGAATGATCTCTACTGTATCAATTAAAGACTTTGACAATGCCAAATCAATACCTAAATTAAACTTAGCACCTGTAAAGCTAAATACAAAGAAGCAGCAACGTAATTCAGCTATCCACTGGCTTCTGTCTGCAGTGTTTTGGCCTTTCCAGCTGCCCATGAAGACCAGTTCATCAGCTGGCTAACAATGAGCTCCATAAAGTTCAATGTGACAGTCCTCCCTGTTTCCTCTTTGGTTCCTCGGTCGCCTTTTAAAAGAAAAGTGTTTAGAGGGAAAATAAACCCAGTTCTTATCTCTGCCTGCAGCTGCCCTGTGGTTACGCTGCCCCACAGGGCGAGCGCTGCTGTCAATGTGAAAACGCCGCCAGGGAGGTTGTGTAAAAGAGCTGGGGGAGATGGGGATGGGTGTAGAGGACAGGCACGCGAACACACAACACAGCACAGTAGTGGTGCACATAGAAAACTGCAAGGTGCTGAAATCAGAGGTGCTGCTCTGTAACGTGACCCTCACGCCAGACATCAGAGATTTACCCTACAGGGATAAATATTCAACCACAAACATACGGACACATCATATAGAGTCAGCGTATACGACAAAAACTAAGCCCTGGGGCCCAGGCTCTCAAACACACACATGCACACAGATCCATGAGGAACAGGAACGCTGACATTGCCATTAGCCAAGTACTGTGTGGTGCAAGGGTTAGTGACTTAACCTGATCTGACATTCGGCTCATAGTGAGGGGGAGTCTATATGGTGTACATTTTCTTAGTCCAGGATCTGTTCAATTAAAATCAATTTAATATTGAGTTCAGTTTTGCAAAGGTTATTCCTAAGGTTGAGCACAGTCCAATCAATATTTGTGAGCATGAACAATTTTCACTCAGAGCCACAAACTGGAGCAATTACACTGAAACCCCCTGATGGCATGAAAATATGGAATATAAGCTGCACAATAGAGAATGACTGGGAGTGTTTTTAAAACCAAAACGCTCTATTATTTGTCTATTTATTTGCTTTGCATAACAGAGGGCGGTCTTGTTTTGTATAGGGAAAACAATTAAAGTAAAATAGATAAATGCAAGAGGATAATGATGTTTACATGAATAATAGTCTGATATAAATTGTACTTATTGAAAATAGCCGACTAGGCAAGGGCGATGTTGGAGTGACACATTAGATAAACTGCGTGGCTGCTCAGTCAGCAGTGCTGCTTTCTTTTGTTTTGTTGATACAAAACTTTTTTTAACTAATGTGAAATAGTGAGACAGGCTTCCTGTTTTACATATTTTAAGGATGCATAAGTTTTGTTGTGTTTTGTCTTTTGAATTATCTGTACATTTTGTGTTAATGTGTTAAGACCACACAAAAACTTCAATTATGTTTGTGTAAGTTGTATTCTGGATGGTGATTGAAGTTGTGATGTCACAAATCCTGCTCATATGCATACACCTGAACCTCATGGAGCAACTTCCCCTCCTTCAACAGATGAATGTGAAAACTGTGTTCGAGCGTCAAATACATATTTATTTATAAGGTCAAACATCTGAGCGAAGTAACAAGAAGCAAAGCACATGTTTTTGAGTGAAGGTGACTTTAACAAACACTGTATCTTATAAAACTTTTAGGACTATATAGAGCCAAATTGCTTTCAAGCCAAAGGGGAAAACCACCTTTAGCTACAACAGGTTGAGGGCAGTGACACTGAAACGAGATCGCAGCTGCACGACCCACAATGCCACTTGTTTTACGATGCGCCTTTCCCCGAAACAAGAGACCAGCTGGATTCTAAAAGTCCTTGATTGGAAAGCAAGTTCAAGTGTTTTCTCTTTAGCGGACCATCATTTTCTCCAAAGACCAAAGTGTTCGAGCAACATCGATGTCAAGTGGCGGGACCCTGTCGCCCCGGCAACAGGAAGGAAGCTATTTTGGGCAGTGGGCACTCTGCCACTCTCCTAGGAGCCACAGCCTCATGGTAGGCTTGGAGATAGGCTTGGAAGTGACAAAAAACTGGCATGTAGTTGCAAGGAGGCGTGTCCTGCTCCTGCCAACATGTTTTCATCTCGACCGTTATTTGGTTATTTATCAACAAGCATACAGGAGAAACACTTTGCTAAACTGAAGTAAAGCACATATAAAGTGGTCGCCGTGACTGTTGAAATTACGAAATGCTTTTAGGTTGCGTAAATTTGGCGTCACAAAGCGGTGGATGTGGCCTCAGCTGTCCAGACTGTTGTGATGTTGATGGCTGAAATACCACAACACATGAGAGAGGAAGAGTCCTGTGACGCCTCAGCGCTCCAAGTGTTTCTAGACATTGCTATCAATAAGGAATAAACACAACAGAGGAGAAACTGGCATATCAGGAAGGTTTTTTTAACTGATGAATAGTTTCTGTTGTTTGTTCATGTTACCCATTAGAAAGGACATTGAGCCCGAAAGGGACGTGTTTTCTTCCCCATTTCACTGGGAGGTCAGAGATGAGGTTCAACCAGTAGATCAGCCCCGTGGAGTCAGCAGGGAGTCCATGTTTAGCTCACAGACCCTTCAGCAGGTTAGATGCAACATGACGGCCTGACCCCTGATCCACGTCACCTCTCAATTAAAAGTGTTATATGATCTTCTCATTTCACAAACCTCTTCATTTGTATTTCAAACTACAGCCAGTTTCCCTGATTGGCAGCATGTGTTTTTCTCTTGAGAGATCATTTAACACCTCATTAGAATGCCTCACCCACAAGTCAAAGCTTTAATTGCATTGCCCTACACATCAATTACACTGTAATGTCTCTCATTTCACTGTGTTTACTCCCCCAAGCCGAGTCGAGACCCAGCTCATAGAACGACTGCGAGCCAGCAGTTCGTTCAGGCGGCTACGACTAGCGGAGAGTGGGCAGGGTGACTCGACAAGCGAACAAAACACAGACATCCCCACGGTATTTGTTTACAACACGCCACAACCTCCCCTGAGGCGGCACAAGGTACAAAACAAGAGACACAGATCAAGCAGAAATGGAGCTGCTGCCTAATGGCTGCAGTGACTAGTTTGGAGCTCACTGTGTGAAACAAATGTGAAGGGACAAACTGATTTCTGAAGGTCAATTTTCTGCTTGTGTCTTACTGTAAAAGTGAAAACAAACTTTTTCTCTACATCCCACTGCAAACTGCCAGCAGATATGGCTTTAGTCAGGTAGTGTTGTGCTGTTTGGTGTTCAGATACGGAGCACCACGGGCTGACCTGAGAACAGGTGTATCTCGCTGATGTTCAAGTAGGACATTCTTTCTTTTCTCGCCGAGAAAACACTAAGCCAGCTGCAACCAGCAAGTCTTATTTCCTGTGATGACAGCCATCCTGCATTAAGACCTTTAATTATTTCATTTTTACTTGTTTTTAAATGTTTTTTGTACTTACGGGTGCCATCGAAGCGCGTAGCGATGGTGTCCAGAAAGGTGTTCTGTGGGGCCAGGAGGCCCTTCATCACTGGCATCTTGACCCAGATGTGGGGCGGCCAACAGCTGGCTGGAGGTCACACCATCCCAGAGGCACAGCAGGTGGCTTCCAGGGGCTCTCAGCTGGTGCAGGAGACTTTGAGGGTGACAATCCAGTGCCGGCGGGGACACACATTTACAGTCAAAGCTGCCACCCTTCTCCAAGCGACGCCTCTCCCAAAGACAATAGTGCTGTCGGGGAAGACTAAATTAACGCACTCCAACAACGCAGAGGTTAAGGTGTGGGTAGCCTAGATAAGTAGAAATTAAGAGAAGCAATGACCAGCAGCTGCTCAGTCAGCAAGGAGAGATCAAGTCCAGGTGACGCTGAGATCCAAAGAGCTTCAGCTCTGTCAGCCCAGCTGTTGCTCGTCTGCACCTTTCAGCCGGAGGGCTCATTTCAGCAGCAACGTGGAGCAAGTCCACTGCTTCTTCCATCTACAGGAGGACCCAGAATGTGCAAGACAAAAATTGACAGTGCTTGTGTCTACACCTTGCATCCCTCCGCTCAGAGCTCTGTCAAGATGCTGTGCCAGAGTAGTTGCATCTTCTTGAGCTTTCTCTCTCTCTCTCTCCCTCTCTTTCTCTCTCGCTCCTGCTCCCATCCACTCCTGTGATGCCCCAGCCAATGAGATGCTGGCATCCTCTATGGGGACCAGTTTTCAGAGAAAGAGAGAGAGAGAGAGAGGGAGAGAGAGTGGAGGGAGGGAGAGAGAGGGTGCTTTTGGAGCAGCTGACAGCACCATTACACCCCATAGTGCAACTATTGGCACATGGCTTTTGTGTGCATGTCTGCATGTCGGTCCATGCAGGCTATTGTATTCAGTTGGACTGTGTGCCATTGTGCTGTTCTGTCATGTCTGACTCAAGGGACATTGTGAAAGTGTGTATGTGTGTGTGTGTGTGTGTGTGTGTGTGTGTGTGGAGGGGGAAGACATATTCAGACTTGTTTTTCTTACGTATTTACTTTGCTGTGTGAAGGCATGAGGACTGTAGCCCTAAAAATACCATTCCTAGAGTATTGTTTTTTTACAATCGTCTCTGCTGGATGGAGCTGGTCACTGTTGCCCTCCCAGCCCCTACAGTATCCTCATGAGAGAATTAAGGCTCTGGGATAAAAGCCGCTAAGAGCGGATTAAAAGGATAAGCCTGGAGATGTTTTTCATGAGGACTTGGTGCTAAACACACCAAAGGAAAGCCGCGTCTTAACTCACTTTGACCCAACAAACAACACAACTTAGGAAATACTTCTCGATAGTGAAGTAACAGGAACAATTGTTTCTCGTATCGTGTTCATTTTGTCAACAGCAGATTTTACAGTAATCAGGGGAAAGATTATGCTACTATTAATTCAATTAATGTCATCAAATATTATCATTTTAAAGTACATTGACAAACCTGATAATTAGGGGATGTTTCTTTCCGGTTTAGTTGAAATGCATTGAGATAATTTGTCCATTTGAAAATGTTCACAAGCTATTTGCAGAAGGTTTTAGCAAATAGGCAGAAGACTTTGATTCTGTTCATTTTAAAGTGGACAATAAGGTTTTCAGTAGGAGGAAGGGTCTGAGTTTAACTGAATTATGAGTCGTCACTGTGATTTATGTGGAGCTCGAGGACGAATCCAACAACAGTGCTTAGGTGGTGTAGATTGTCCCAGAAGCTTGAAGCCTTACCAACGACAATATATCATTTTGAAACTATATTTAGACCTTTCAGCATCCTCAATTTAAAATTAACACAACAGTCAAGACTAATTGTTTTAAACCTTCCTGTAACATCATGGGTTTGAAACTTTGTAGACTTTCTATGCCTGCTAAAAAAACAAAAAAATCTAATTCTCACAATATATCTCCTAGACCATGCATCAAGTGTGGCTTTATGCAAATTGGGAGTTGAGCAAACAGAAATGGATGAGAAAAGAAAACGAAATATACAAGTTTCTTGTGAAGGCGTCGGTAATCTGGGAAAACTTGAGCAGATTCAGCAGCTGTGTGGGCGCTTCCTCAAGACAGAAATGAAGTTTGTAATCTTTGGGGGGGGAAAAGTTTGGTTTTGATCTGTTTTGGCAGTCCCGGCAGCAACTGAGATGAGAATAAACAGGTCAAGGAAGAGGTGAATGATAATAGCCATAGTACTGTGTGCATGTAGTTATTTGCAGCGAGAACATGTGTACATGTGTGGAGTCTGATACATTCTGTTTCTGAGTGTTAGAAAAGACAATTTTCTGAACTCAACATTGATATGATGTCAGAGAGAAAGTGCTGGAGAAAAAAAAAGCACAATCAATCCATCCGGCTGGCAGCACAGGTGAGCTGCATTGGGAGAACAAAGAGGAAAAACACAACCAGTGAAAGTCAAAGACTGGCTCTCAGACTGTAAGGAAGTACTGTTCCTCCTCTCGGATTCTATTCAAGCCCTGGCAGCTCATCGCTGCTATTTATTTTTAATGACTTCTCTTCTTGTAGTTCATCCATCTCTGCTTGTCGCTAATAAAGAGTCTAATCCATTAAACATGCTCACTAGCTACTAGTCTAATACGACAGAGTGACGCACAGACGGCCAGGTGAAATATGATCCTAACTATATTTCCCACAGTTCTGCTGGTATTTTCCCAGATTTTGGAGGTGCTTTAAAAAGGGTTGAATACATCTTTGAACAATTGTTTGTTATATTTACAAAAAGGACTCTTATCTACAACTTTAAACTTCAATGAAAATCTGCAGCTACAATCCTGATTTAAACTGTAGGATAGATAATCTCTGTAGTCGGCATCATTTACTCAACATGCAACGTCTCCTCTCTCAATCAAATACACCCTCCATCCCTCAGCAAACCCATTGAGAAAACAGGCCTGTCATTCTCAAATCCCTGCTGTTTACATTGAATTAACTTGTGACTGAACAGATGTGCCAAGAAGCTCTGCGCGCGTAAATCCTCGAGGCCTGTGAGGATGACAGACACACACCATTTCACTAAACACCAATCAGAGAAAGACGACACTCTGTCACGAATAAACAAATACATGGCGAGAGGATAAAGAAACTGGAAATATTTACCTACCATGCTGTCATTATATTATACCCTGGAACCCCACTAAACAGGCATAATAAAATATGAATATATATACAGCTTCAACATCTCAGCCTCTGTTCCCTCGAGTCTCCATGTCATGAAACGGCTTATTTGACTCCTGTTTCGGCCTGATCACACTATGAAGACGAAATAAAGTGCAAGTAGTGACAAATCTCTGCTGAAATGGGACGTTACTAAAAATATTAGCCCATTTTGTGAAGGAGAGAAGCGTGTCATGCAACAACACGAGAGTTAAGAGGGTCATCTCAGACGTGGGCTTGTTTAGTATTCTAAGTATATCATTTTCATTAAATTACATAATGATGCTGAAGACATTATTATAAGTCTCTACTCTCTCTGATCTGCCAGTAAAAAAAAGACCTCTTTGCTACATTTAAACTTCAGAAATCTCTTACAGCCTGAGATTTCATGTATTCTGACTTACAATGAGAGACCAGTAATCGAGATGAAGGCACTAAAAGTCATGACTAAGAATCCACTGTTAAATTAAGACAATAAGACCTGTGGTAGACAGCATGATAACAGCTATTGTAGAAGTCTTGCCTACATGACTACCCCCCCTAGTGGTGACAATAAATCCTGCCACTGGTAGTGTATGCACTAGCACAAGTACAGTCTGATTTAAATCAAGTATGCAGGCAGAAACGAGCAAGCTAATCCCGTTTGCTGCATGCTGGCATGGGAATCATGAGGCGCAGTCTACACTATATTGAATCTTTCCATTAATCTGGTTTTAAAATGCCAACAGGACTTAAGGAGAGCAGAAACTGGGAGCTCACTCCAGGAGTCCAGTGCAACAGTATCTGAATATGGTAATTTAGGAAAGAGAGCATGCTGAGATTAAATGACAGTTCTGGAGACAAACGTCAGAAGCAAGTCGAGAAAAATGATGTATCTGAGTTAACTAGAGCTACACATTGCATACTTAACTTTACATCCAGTGTGTTACATCCGTCTACCAGGAGAAACAAAAGGGAATACGGAGACGAAACATCTCCTGCTGTTGTGTCCAGATTTTGCTAAACAGAACATAATGGTCAATAAATAAGAGGGTTGACTGCAGGATGCTTTTCAGCCCCGCTCCATGATTTATGCATATAAGAGGGATGTGCAAATGTTGATTTCATCCTCACAGGTGACTGCACTTATGGGACAACGTGAATGTGTTAGTGCCGTAACATTCAACAACACCAGGTGGTATCAGTTGAAAGGATCATATTGTTAAAAATGTGTATCGATGCTAACATTTTACAAGCTTAAGCACTGTTAGTGAGGCTCATTTCATACACGTTATTTGGATTTCCTTCAGCTGCCCTCAAGACCAGTCAAATGTAAGGAAAACCCTTTTGTTTATGATTAACACCCCAGTAATGATAACCATCCACATAATAAGATATGGTACGATGAAAATGTTATGTAGCAGTAACAAAACTACGGTAACAGTTTAATAAAACACTTTAATAAAATGATATCTGTGGACAAGATAATAAATCCGTCAAATGAACATTTCTCAAACATGAAATGAAGTTGTGTTTTTCTGTTTTAGAGTTCCAAAAGGCACAATAAATCAAATCGTTCATGAGCAGTAGACTGAAAAACTGGAGACATTTAATTCAGTCAGCGCTCACCACAGAGTCCACAAGCTTTGTCTCTTTCTCCGCAAACAACGGGAGGTTTCAGGAAACGGTCTTTCCCAGGAGGAAGTCAGCGTATTCTTTCCTGCGCAGCACTCGGTGCATTTTGAAGGTGTTGGGCAAGGTGTTCGAGAAGGCCATCATTTGTTTGCGGAGTTCCTTGAACGCACCCTCCGCCACCAGCTGCACCCTCATCGGTCCGATGCTGCCTTTGACACGAAAGGACTTGTAGACAGCAGAGTCCTGCTGGAGACAGATGTCCAACTGTACGGGGAGAGAGAGGAGATGCCACTCAGAGGAAGATGATAAAGATCAATTTCATAATAAAGAAAAAAAACTAGGTATGTTAAGTCTGTCTTACCTTGTATCGTTGCTCCTCTGTGAGGTTTCTCACACCTTTCATCTCGATAAAGACCTGGTAATGAGGATCTGAGCCGCCTATGGAATCTCCTACAACACCAAAAAGTAAGATTCATTTGGGAGCAAACTCAACCTGACTAACCACTTAGAAGACTTCCCACACACACAGATGTCAGATCCCAAATTCTGCTGGAACACTGAGGGCTTTAAGCTAGGCGTCTTACCCATGATGCCGCTCTCAGCGCAGCAGTAGTCAACCAGCTGAGCTCCCTGCCACTGAGCAACCGCTTTCTTCAGAGCATTGAGGAACAATGCCTCAGAAACTTTCTCCCCCCGAACGCTCAACATCTGACCCCGTCTGGCAAAAGAACATACGTCGATGTGTTGTATACTCTTAACAATCAACACGGGCGGACGTACAGTACATCACATGCAGCGGGACATACGCAACAAATGTGCACAGGGACAAAAATGTACCTGTACTGAAACTCAACAATGGGACACTGGTTGTGGAATCCGACTACTTTCACGATGTCTCCAATGCGATACCTGTAACACAGCTGAGAGCAGTGTCATTTATGCAAAAAAGTGAAGTTTGTGAAATACCTGGGAATAAACCTTAGATTGAAGTTCTGATCATGTTTCAATTTGAATGGCATGTTGGATTGTCTAACAGAGTCATTTATAGAGTGCAGTCAAATGAAACCACATCACAATGACACAAGGCAATTACTGAATATAATCTCTCCCTTTCTGTAGCTCATTCTTTGACAGTTAATTAAAGGCACAGTAATTCTTCCTAAAATGAGTCTACATTTCAGGTATTTACCCCCTAATAATGTAATAAACATAGAGTTGTCAACATTTAAATGCCAAATCCTGCAAGAGCACCCACTGTCCTAATCATTTCATCCATCATTAGATCATTTTTGGTTGTAAATTTAAAATCAGACCTGAAGAGTCCTGAAGCGTTTGTGATGACGAGCTCGTAGTTTTGTCCCTCCTTCACCTCCTCCATCAGCAGCGTGTGAGGGGTCTCCTCCTCCAGGCTGCTCTCTGGCAGGAACTCGCAGAACATTGAACGAGGACACAGCATGTAGCGTCTGTTTGGCTCCTGAGGCCACAGGTTCACCCCTATCAGACCTGCAGGGGCCCGTACACACAATTAGAGCTAATGCTACGGAAGAGACCAACACCACAGGGAAAGGCTTTGTGGGACTTTTAGAGGTATGAATGAGCATTGTGCTTAATTGACACACAATAGGACGTTTGGCCACAGTGATTGCTGGAATCAGGCTCCTACCTTCAGTAGCAGCGTAGAAAGGCGAATAGAAAGGCACTCCCCGGCAGTAGTTCTCCCTCAACATTTCCCCATAGATCTGATTGGAGCCTGAGTCTACTGCCAGCACCAGGTGGAGGTGAGGCCACAGCCGCTTGGCGATCCCACAGAAACCTTCCTGGAAGTGGGCCCTGAGCTGAGCGGCCCTCTCTGGGTCCGGCTTCATCGCAGCCTCGAGCCTGGACCTCACTTTGGTCTCCAGAGCCAGAGCGCTGCTAACCTCCCCTTGTTCAATGTCCTCAACAAGCTCCTGCCAGCGATCCTGCGAGACGGAGAGGAGATGGGAAAGAAATTACTTTTCTAATCTTTTCTCCATCAAACAAATGACCTACGCTTTTCTTTCGGTCATTAGGAGCCTGACACCTGACTCGAGATGCCTTCCCACTTGTCTAGAAAATGTCCCAGTGGGACTCACACCAGGTATGCATGAAGCGTTTTCCACCAAATCAAAATCAGAGTGTTTTTAAATGATTTCAATGATTTTCCTGGAGGGTGTTTTTACGTGACATGCAATTATTATCTGTATAACAAATCATGACATGAGCTATTCTTTACCTGTAAAGCACTGAAAGCATAGAAGACTGTGGAAGCAAAGTTGGAATCCAGCGTTCCCACACTGGGATCTTTGAGAGCAAACAGGAGATGCAAGTAGAGGGTGTCCTTCTCACTGGGAACCTGAAAGAGAGGGCAATACAATCCCTTAAAAACTGTTCTAAGTGGAAAATAATTAACAACAAAAATCCTATACATAGCAAGATCATTAGGGGGGAACTCATGTTGATCATCACCTCAAAGGCGGCTGCTGGGGTGGTGTAGAGGTTGAGCATGTGGCGGGAGGAGGCTGGCGTGGAGGAGTTCGGTCCGATGGGAACACCGGCCTCAGACTGGCGAAAAGTAGGCGAGTAGAAGAACTTGGTGGTGCGCTGAAGGCTGTCCGTCGCAGGAAATGCTCTTCCCATGGCATCCAAACACACAGTCACTCCCTGGTGGAAACACATGAATAAATATTATAGTTTAATTTGCACAACAACACACGTTACAGCTGGGCCAACACATCATCATCATCATCATCATCATCATGCTTCACCTGCAGGAAGAACTCCGTGTTGGTGTCCTTGGTGCTGAGCAGCATGGCGCTGGCTCCCGACGTCCCAGAAGTCATGGCCAGGATCAGCGGTTTCTCAGCAATGATCACCTTCTCCTCTCCTGTCGCGATGCGTCTGATGAGCTCGCGGTAGTGCTCGTATGTGGTGATGGGGTGACGCGCTCGGAAGCCAACGCTGTCTGGAAAATCACAGGAAGTTTTTTTTTAGGTTTCTGTTTATGAGTGAAAAACTGTCTTTGTCAAACCTTTTACCTTTATCATTTTGAAATCTTAATTTCACTTGTGAGGGCAATGAAATGTGGTTTGTAGCTCAGAAGAGACAGTAAGTGGTCCTTTGAGTTGAGGCTATTTATCACACTGTTCAAAGGGTAAATAATAACACTTCTCATTTAATAGGGACAAGACTCGCAGCTTCATCTTACAACTCTAACTCCACATGAGCTAATTGTGAGAATGTGCTGCATTTCTTCTGTAAATTGTATGTTTGGGATTTGGACAAACTAAATAAGGGATTTGAAGAAATAAAGTTGGGTTTTAGGAATTTTTTGGGACATTTTTAGAAGAAAATAAAGACTTAGATCTGTGTATGGGGAGATACATTTAAAAAAAGTTAAATATGAATAGTGAAAAGAAGACTGCAGCTTGGTGCCTTGTCAACACATTCTTAAGGGGGTGGGGCTTCACGACCTCAGCCCAGCTGTCAAGCTTACTGGTTAGACTCTGCTTATATGTATACACACACACACACACACACACACACACACAATACATCACAACCAGTCAGAGGACAAATGAGTGTGTCAGAGGAGGCAGGCTGTTACAACACGTGCAGTTTGTTGTCCTGCAAAATAATCTGACTTGCACCTAAAATATAAAATAAAAAAACACCACGTCAAATCTGTTCACTATCTCATCCTTATCTTACCTGTAATTGAGTTGAAGTCGTACTGTCTTCCATAACATGTGTCTGCGTTTTTGCGCAGGCGCTTCAGCAGAGTCTGCTCCTGGACTAGCTTCACGTTGAGAGTATCGGCTTCGAGCTTCTTTCTCTGCTGCCTGCCCAGCCAGCCCACACCCTTCACCGCCAGATACTGGCTGAGCAGACTGCCCAGCGTCCGGCCCTCACCCTTCATCCTCGAGCTCACGTCCCTCCAGATGAGCGCCATCCCGGCCAGGGAGCACACACCGACGGTACCGCCGAGGACGGAGGGCAGTGAAGGCGGCATCACTGTGGCCCATGGTCGGCGTTACACAAGAAGCATAAGAGGCAAATGAGCCAGGTGGGGGTGCTGTTAGACATATTTACACGTGGATATGTTATGTGGATTGTTTTAACAGTTAAGGCAGCCAATGTACTGCTGGTTACAGTTAGACCGTTCCCATCATGCAACACGTTCAGCTTCATTATAACAAAGCCACTTACCCAGGATGTGCCCAATGATGGCGAGAACAAACGATAACACCGCAACAAGAACCCAAGAGAAAGCCATCTTCAGCAAACAATGCGACTTAACGTTTCTGTGTTTCTAACTGTTCACATGAATAATAACGTGTATGTCGCATTTTTTCTGACAACAGAAGAGCCTGAACCTTTGCTTTCGTAGAGCTTTGAGTCACTTCCGTGTTTGGGTCGCAGCCTGTAGCGCTGATTGGCTGAATACACGGTGACGTACGTCTGTCTGACACACGTACCTCGACCTACCCAGAAAAAACCTTATTTTTAATGTGGAAAAACATATGAAAGTTGACTCTAATTTAGCTATGTGCAATTTTTGCAAATCCCAAATATATAAATTAAATGAAAATATAGATTACACAATTTCCCTTTCTTCCTTAATGATATTCAGCTGTATTCCAATTTCTAGTGAATTTATAGGCGCCATATTTTCAGTTTTTTTCTTATCTACATTTATATACTGTGTGTTTACTGTATCTTGAAAAACAGAACCAGTCCCACTATTGTTTCCTAGGTCAAGAACGGACTTTCATGCTTAAACAAAACCATATTTATTTTAATTGATTATTTACATATTTTATATAATTTACAATAATGTTTCTATGAAGAATATTTCTGGAAATCTACATATTACACCAGAAAAAATTCTGAGTTAGAATAATTATAATGTTATTGTTATTTACAGACAGTAAGTAGAAGGTATTTGTCTGAGCTTATGGTAGCATCATTTATATATTAGGTACAAGATCTATGATGTGAGCATCAGAGCAGTAACATCAGGGATCTTGTCCTGAGCTTGTAATGAATCCCTTTTTCCTCTGGCTGTACATTAGTCCACAGAAACCCCTTCATCAGCTCTCCTCCGCAGAACCTGCACAAAGGTCACAGAAATCACTGACACCTTTGATGTCGGGCTGTGCTGGAAATTTTCAGTCGGAGAGATCCGCTCACCTGTTTCATTTCCACGCCGACAGCTGAAAATGAAAGAGCACAGAAAAATCACGGAGTGCACAGGAAATGATAGACACACCATCAAGCTTATTTGGACTGACCTGCCCAATAAGAAGAGGGTAACTCCACAGGCCCGTCGACAGCCAGCTCAGCCAACCACGACAGCTCAGCTGGGTTGTCGACAAATAACTCCACTGGTTCGTCCACACAAAGCTCAAACTCTGCCACAGTCAACATAAACACACAGACGTCCAATGCATCCTCCTGAAAAACTTAAGGCACCAGTTTTGCAGCTCAAATTATTCCCTGTACTCTAAGTTTATATATATATCTTCATTATCATTTATTGTGAAACCTTTAGTGGAATAGAGTAGACAAGAAAGGAAGTAAGATGACAGCTGACAAACTTATTTGACCGTGGAAAGCTGCAATGTCTTGGAACATGTTTTTTCCCCTCCTGACCTGTGACTTTATCTTCCTCCTCCTCTTCCTCATCCTCCTCTTTGGACCAGGCTGTGACTGTTTCGACTGCAACACTCCAGTCGGACATGGACGATGTTAGGCTGTTGCTCTGCAGCCTGTGTGCTAAGCGCGTTGTGTCACAAACGTAGGCCTCCTTGTAGAAGTGACTGGCTGAAGAGAGAGCGAGGAAAAGAAACAGACACGTTTGGATTGTGATTATGTGAGAAACCGGCTTAAAAGTTTTGTTTTTTGAAAACTTTGGTTATAAGGGATATTCATTGAATCATTGTGATTGAAATGAAATAGCGATGACAAAACAAAGAAACTCCTTTAAACTTTCTGACCCTCCGTGTCATCGAGCTGTTGGATGTAGCTGACTACTCCTCTGGTGTCGATGTGGAGCCGGTGACTGTCACTAAGGTGCCTCAGGACGTGTTTGGAGTGGAAGGCTGAAGGAGTGTAATACACCAGCTTAGGGAGGCACAGAGAGCCCACTGCAGCGATTTCAAACCTGCTGCCCTGGACAGCAAGAGAGAAGAAGGGTACAATCCAAAAAGAGGGCTAGAGGATGTGGCAACATGCACGTCTATGTGAATACATTGTGTACTTTGGTGTGTATGTAGTCTTTAAGGACCAACCTGGAAAGTGAGGCGGTCAATGTCGGTCCAGGAAAAGTCATACAGTAGGCACAGCTTCCCTTCCAAATCCTTCAGTAAAAAGTTACTACATGTAAACTCAGGAATGAATTGATTAAAAAGGTTCCAGAAAGTTTATTTACATCTACAAGTGAAACCCTTCAAGAATTAATGTGCATATGCAAAAATAAATTCCCAAACAGACCCACCTGATAAATATGGACTCCTTTCAATGCCACACCAAGAAGGATTGAACTTCTCAGCTCTTTTTTCTCCTGCACATAAAATAAAACCAAGAAGCAGAGTTTGATATGTAAAACATCAGCTCATGTAGCACCCGATGTTGCAGGACAGAGTATGTTTCCTCAGTTAAACACTCTCATGAACGGCCTCACAACTTTCAGATTTGTTTGAAGGTCTATGACAGTTACAGTATTCTGGTGGTGGATTCTGTGCAGACCTGTTTCATTCTGTAGAAGGTGACTGGTCCATCCTGCAGGTTGCCGGCCTCTTTTATAAAGAGCAGGACCGCTTGGCTACGCGTCACACCTCTCAGCTCGATGTGCAACACCGGGCAGTGCTGGAGCAGGAAGTCTTGTCCACGACGCTTTATCAGCTAAAGACATAACTCGTGTTACACACGCATACAACAATTTAGGTTCGGTCCAAATGCTCAGACTTTTTTTTACCCAGGAGGGGAAGTAATCTTCAGGAAGAAAGTAATGTTGGTGTCTTTTCTCTTCTCCCTCCTCCTCATCATTCCCCTCGGCTGTCCGCTCCAGATCTCCGACATCAGCCTGGAGTGCAGAAGCTGCCAGCTGGAAGAACAACGCTTCCTGATGGCGGCTCTCCGAATGCAGTACTTTGTGCCTCAGCTCAGCGTAGTAGAGCTGCTGCACTTTGCTGCTCCTTAAACAATGAGAGGTTGACTCTGTATTGTCAGCACATATTGATAGACAACAGATGTGATGTTTAAAACAGCGGGGGAGAACATTCATGATTTATATATATATGTGCAGACAGATGAATCTCCTTCATAAAAAGATGCTGATGGGACATTAACTTACAATATCAGCCGACCACTCTCTACATAATACTGCACTCTCAGAAATAAGATGAATGGGACCTGGAAATAAATGTAGAATACATATTTCAACAGAATCAACGAGAAATGTTGCTCACTTTGAATTCTGCACATTACCTCTACTGACAGTCATGTTTGAAGAAAGAAACAGAAATGGTATTTATAGATTATAGATATTTCCCTGAACAATAACAGGGACAAAGATTAGTTTGTACAGAACATCTCCCTAGATATAAGGCAGTATAATATGCGTTATCACTGTTTATAACTTCACTGAGGCACTCCGCTACATGCAAAAGGTAAAGCTTCTGAGAAAACGACTGCCGAGCTTAAACTCACCATTAAGGATCCTCTGTTCCATCTTTTGCCAAAGTACTTGCTCAGCTTTTGCTCCAAATCTAGAAAGAGGTATTCGTTATCTGAGGGAAAAAAAACACATTTAATTAAGTCAGAGAAAACACGGCATGGTCATCTTTAGCTTCACGGGCTCCTGTAAGTTCATTCAGCAGCCTCCCTAAATTTCGGCATCCCACAATAAAGTATTTGAAAACATTTACTCTTGAACTCCCACACAGACACTAACTGACCTCTGAGAACAGCCAGACCAAAGACTTGGAGTTCACTGACGCCAAGCTGCTTCAACACAATATTCAACACCTCGTGGCCTCTGGCTCTCACCTAAAGAAACACACATAACAAGAATAAGAACATAAGAGCACACGTGAGCTTTGGGTTCACGCTGAGCAAGTGTTTTGGCTTTGTGGTGTCAGCATTTTGTAAATTATTGGGTATCAGACAGCTGAAAAGTTCAACAATCTTCCCTTAAACCCCTACACTTGTATGTTTAGTGTTATTAATTTGAGACAAAACACACAATAAACAATTATAAAGATGAATTTGACTGATAGCATTATCATTGTTTTTTATATCATGAGATATAGCAACATTGTTAATTATTTTGGCTATGATAATCGTCTATGAAAACCTGATATTGTGATCCAAAGTCAAATTATTTTGGGATTAAATGAGTTTTATCATCCCATTACAGTAAAAATGCAGTTTCAAATGCTTTTCCAGTTTGAAGAAGTACATTTAATGTTTCCCAAATATATTAAAATCATCACATTTCAGTAAAGCCCCTGTGTAATCTGGCACATCAATGACAGCTGGGGTCTTTATATTTCTAATCCCAAGTGACAGGTTAAAACAAAAGATAAAAAACACAAATATGACACAAAAACAACATTGAAGCCACGCACCCCGACAGTACAGTCCAGGTTCTGCTTGTTCAGTAGGAGGATGCACACTCGTTTCTGCGTCGTCCTCATGGTCACAGAAGCTTCAGTTGGTCTCAGACCTCCGTATACCGTCCTCTTGTCCTCTCATGAGCTAACTGAAGATGGCCGGCCTTCCTCCCTAACCTGACTTTTATATCTTGTTGATATAAAAAACACAGGAAAGCATCACATCCTCACATTGGGTTTGTAGCATCTGTTTGGGCCTTATCCATTTCTACAGCATTCTCACATAAAAAAAACTAAACAAAACAGAATACAAGGAAACATATTTTGTTACTTCACATGATATGGATAAAATCAATTAAGAGTATTTAAAAAATGTATACCGACATAGATACCCAAATATTTACTGTCCCATCCTGGCACTAAAAATAAATTCATAAAAAGACAGACAAGACACAATTGTTAATCTATCATTAATTTATTTAAAAACAAAATCTAATAATGCCAATTGTGCTTTGCTCGGAGAAAGCAAGAACAAAAAAAAGTGACACTTTTTGTTTTTTTAGTAGCTGGTGATTCTTCTTCTAGTAGCGACAAGTCCTCCGCTCTTGTGTTGTTGTTTTTAAAATTACAATCTACAGTGTTCTTTTGGATTCTCACACCAAATAATCTTTGTTAACATGCACAAGAACAGAACAAATAAAACCACAACCAAAGAACACTACAGTGTATTAAAAAGGCACCTGCTCCCCAGAAACAGGCTTTTTTTCTTTTAATCCTACAAAGTTACATAGTTGTAGAGGGACGTTGTTAATGCAGCTTCAGTAGCAATGAGTCTCAACAATAATCCCAACGAGCAGTTCATACAAACTGTATCACGCGTGTACCGACTCCATCGAGTACTCTACAATATCACATTAACCTTTTCGGGGGACAGATGGGATACATTCAAGAGGTAAACAAATTTAAACTTCATCTCCGACGACAACTATCCTTCTCTGCAACATAACTGTAAAATACAATTCTCAGGTTAAGTGGAGTTCACATTGAAATGTCGATGATTCAAGGCGACCAGAGGAAACATGCAGTACAGTACATAGTGTGTTGTTTTTTTTATGTTGGCGGAGGGGGGGGGTCCCTCAGCATGGGGACTTCAACAAACAGATTGTGGGCTCAGAAATGCTTTGTATGTAAATCAAATCCCTTTGATCACACTCACATTTAAATGACATACATTTCTGTTCTTCAACATGCTGCGGGCATCGTTCACCGGTCGTCCACAAGTTTCCATTTCAGGGTTATTTTGTACATAGATTTGAAAGACTGCACGAAAATATGCAGGTTTATATTATTAAATTAAGCGATATGTTGACAAAAAGCATTTAAGTTAATTGTAACAAGCAGTGTTGTTGATCACTGTCAACAAGTCTTTCAGTATAAATATTCATTTAAATGTTTACAACCAGACACCCAATGCCCATTTACTTTTATTGCCCCGACAGATCAAGAATGTTGATTTCTAACATTCACTTCATCTTCTTCACATTATCAATCTGAGAACATGTTGTCAGCATCTCCTCGAATACTCGATAGAAAATGTATCACACTTTTGTTTACCCTTTCCAAACACATTCCTTCTTTTGTCTTCCATCAGTTGGTGTGCACTTATACACACCAACATTACCTTAGACGTACATTTATGTTCACCGCTAAAGGTCTTTAGATTTTAAATAACACACGTAAGACAAGGCCTAAATATTGATGTTGTGTTATCTTGCAGTAAAAATGAAAAATGGTAAATGTTAAATGCACAAAAACCAGTGCAGTAAGATTTCACTATCAGGTTTGAATGTTTTTTTGTCTGCTTTTGATTTTCATGATTAATATTCTGTTGCCACAGCATTTCTACTGCCAACCTGTCTGACACCATTTGTTTTTTTACATGTGCGTTTTGGATCATAAACTGAAATTATCAGCGTTTTTAGACTGATTTCATGAGAGTAACGCAGTGGTGCTGAAAGTTTAAAGTGAAGCACTGAACCAAGAGAAATTAATAATAGATAAACCTGACAGTTAAGGACTATTATTTCATTTTCAGTAATCTGCATTTATAAGTATACAAAAGGAGAACGACGCCCTCTCCTTTTTTCACCAGTGCACCAGAGACACTATCTTCCAAACATTTAGAGACATTATCTTTTGTTTTTATGGACTACACAGTGGATATGTACCGTTCATTTTTTTTAAATTTTTTTTTTATACCCACACTATGCAGCTCCTTTGTTTTGCAAATGCCCATCCATTGGAGCAAAACTGCTCTCTCAGCAGTTATGCTTTTATAAAGTGTGTTCATAATATAGGAAAAAGTGGCGGTGAACCCAAATCTCTGCTTTCCCTGAAAGGCATGACCTAAGAGTTTTCTGAGCTTGTTGCATTTGAACCTAAGTGGATGTGATGGCTGGTATTACGTATTCTAGGTGCTCTGTAACATTGATCAACAGGTGATAAAGCTGTTATGCAACGAGATCAAAGTTACTTTTCATCTAAAACCCATGACGAAAAGTGTGACTGAATGCACTTAGAAGTTAGTGGTTTGAATGCACTGGAGATGCTTGTGATTTTAGGCTTCAGGTACATGTTGTGTTTAACAGGTAGATATTTTAGCACGGCCGAACTGATTTGCTGTTTATATCTTTGAATATCTTAAACCAGTACCGGTGGAGTATAATTGATCAAAGCTGTCTATAAGGAGGATTAGATTAGACATTTAATTTAGCAAATGAAAATTTGGATATGCATTTGCAGGGACAAATCTTTCTATCTAATGTTCCTACATTATTAACGTTGTAGGAACGCACTACTCTTGCTCTTGTGGCCTATGTACAGGGATTTGTTTTCAAAATTAGCCTTTTATCAAACTACATTATGACACGTTTTCTACTGTATGATAGTGGAGTGCACTGGAGAGAATACAGCAGTTTTACAAACAAGCAGAATTAACATAAAAATGCCTTTGTTGTTTGTATTTACAAATATTTTCGATGCATATTTTGCTTGTTTACTTGCAGCTTGCTTTGTTCGGATTGCTGTAAAAGTGATTCTTATTTACTAACCTGCTTGAGTATATTCTCAGATTAAGTTTAAAATTTGAATCATAGTAAAACCTCATGACTTCACTGGCAAAGTTCACAAAGAGACGACGATCCCTAGAGGTACTTCTTCAAAGAACAACATATGTTTTTTTATCAGCTGCACAGTTCTAAGACAGGAAGTCAGAGACTGGAACAAAAAGGGAAGACTGGCTTCAAGTCTCTTCCGGCTAACAGCTAACAGTTAGCGGCTGTTACATGAAGGCACTTCCTGGTAAAGCTTTCCACAGAGTAGCACCTGGGATTGTTTAGAAGTAACCAGTAGAAGCCCTTTATTGGAAGGAGCCTGGGGTCTCAGCTGGGCTGAAAGGTGTGTCGGTCACAGCAGGGTGAAACCCAAGATGTACTGCAGGAGTTTGTTCCGATTAGCCTGAGGTAGAAAGGTGCTGCTCAGCTCCAGAGTCGTCACCTGGTTCTCTCTTCTCTGCTTCAGGACCTGCAGGAGATCACAACACAAGGCAAACTCAACTCCAGTCGGAGGAACCCTGAACCCTACTTTATTTCAATAACTAATCAACATATCATGTGTTCATAACCACTCTTACCCCGAGCTCTTTGAATGTCTTCACTGTGTTCTTAACCAGGTAATGAGTTGCACTTTCACCTGGAAAAAAAACAATATTGTACTAGTTAGTTCATAGTTAATCTTCAGAAGCCATTTTTGGTCTGAGATATAAGATAAATCTAGTTCCAGCACATTTATTCCAGTAACTGTTGTGGTCCAACAATGATTTTTCTGTATATCATAAAAGGATAAAGCATGGAGTAATTACGCAGGGCCCTTTATTTGTTGAATTTTAAATAAGTCCTTTAAATAATTCCTAAAGCGTACAGTTCAGCATGTGGGGAAATATTGCGGTACTACCATAAGCAGCCACTCCTCTCTCTGTGCGGGTGAGCAGGTATCTGAAGAGCCTCTGGGTGTACTCAGACTCGGCCATTGGCTGACTCAGACTGTGGACAAAGATTGCAGCGCCGCTGTAGGCCTCCAGCACCGGGCTGACAAGTCGCTGTAGGAAGACGAAGAACTCCTGGTGCTCTGCGGAAACGCTCACCTAAAGACGGGGAGATGGATGTCAATGACTCAGTGTTGCCTGATAAAACTTGAAAACAGATCTAGATGTTGGTGCCATGCTGGTGGTTCTATGGGCTTTAATAAAATAGTCTTTTGAGATAAGCATCACTAAAGTAGACCTTTAGGTAGCGATCTCGCTGCTCCTCTCCAAAGTCACTGTCCTCGTCCTCCTCGTCGCTCCTCCAGGAAAGGGGCTCTGGGAACTTTTTGGGCCACGGTTCCTCTGTGGGACTGGGACTCAGTTCTTCCTGGTCCTCCTGTCAAACACACACAAATCACAGTAGACCATCTGGGCCTTGAAAAGTCCCACCACATCTTACACATACAGTAAGAAATTATAGTTAACCACGCTTCCCAAGATGTTAATCATTCATGAGTCTACTTTCAGTATTAGTCACAGTGGTTACATTCATTTTTAGCAGTGAGGCTTGTAACTGACCTCTGCTACGTAGAGAACTCCATATTGGATCAGCCGGGACACTGCATCGTGAAACACCTGGTAAATAGTCTGACAGGGCTGTGAGACAGAGAGGAGGAGAGGGAGAGGCACTGTGAACCATGCAACGAGCCACGAGGAGTCTCATTTGAAATCTGTTTAAATACTCAACAGCATCAAAAATGTCCTCTTGCTACTTGCTGGACTAATTTTTTACAGTGCAAAGTGTAGAACGATGGTGTCAATGTGCAGGACTTACCGGTGCCACTGACACCTCATTGATAAGAAAGTGAGAGAGCCCGGCGGCCTTGCGGATGAGTCTCTCCTGACTGAGAGGGAGGCTGCTGGGACCATCAGGCGGTTGATCGGACTCTGATTCCGCGACCAGCTCTCGCTGCAGTGACAGGATGCTGCAGGCTGGAGACATATCATACAGTAAAGATATAGGCCCGGGAAAACAAGCGTCCGACTGATGACATTTATAACGTCAACGGCAAACACAACAACAACATTCTCTTGGCTCAACATACCGATGATTGCATCGGAAATAAAGACATGGAAAAGGCCATTGCTGTAAAAGTTGAGCTCAAAAAGCGCTGGTACAGTTTGGCTGGGTGCGATGGTGAACTCTCCGTTGCGATTTGCACTGCTGGTTACATTGACGCAGTTTCCCAGCAGGTGGAGGGCACGCATGACCACATCCTCTGAGTTCCCCGAAAAGCCCAGATCAAAGTCCCGCGACAGGATCTCCTCCTTCATGTTGAAGAAGTCTTCCACCAGCTTGGACAGCACCACCCCCTGGAGCAGAGAGGAGGTAAGAACACAATCTCAAAAAAAATAAACGGGGGATCATTGGCGACTCCATAATGTAATCAAAGCCAGGATTCAGAATGCTAGACTGGCCTTTTCCTCAGAACAGACAATTTCAGTAATTGTTTACCACTGCAACCCACTTACATCAGTGTGCCTGCAGAGGGCAGCGGCTCACCACTAATGTACAGAAGAGCAAGATCTCTAACAGAGAGGGGCATTCATTACTATCATGCAGAGGTATGTGACATTTGGATCACCTTGGTGGAAGAGACGATGATGGGCAAGAGTAGGATGAACAGGAGGAAACGAGAAAAAAAAAAAAAAAAAAAAGAACAGAGGAGTAATAGAAAAAGAGAGGAGGGCACAGTATACCCTGGGTAAGGACCGAGAGGAGACATGAAAAGCCAGACTTACCTGTCTGTGTCTGTACAGCAGCAGACAGGCTACAATGTGGGTGGACATGATCGCTGATGACTTATTAGCCGCTGTGAGAGAAGACATAAAGAGGTTGTGATGAGAACACAACAGACAAATATACCAATATCCTCTATAAATATGTATTTTTTTATTCTCAAGATTCAAGATTCTTCTGTCTGATTTTGGTGAGGGTTATGACAACAACTGAATAAGTATGTACAGATGGAACTTGTCAGTTAACCCATGTTGGAACACACATTTTAAATATTAAACATAGGATTAAAAAGATCCTAAAGAGTTGATTACATTAATAAGATATTAGGCAGAAAGAGAAAATAATGTAGTGCGTGTGTGTGTGTGCGCACATGCCCGAGGACAAGGGTTACTAGTGGTCATTTTGAGCATAGCTCAGGTTTAGAGGTGTAAAGCATGTGTGAGCAGTGGTACTGCGTTCCTCCCCTCCTCAGCTTCTCTTCCCTCCCCTTCACCCTATTGGCTGAAAACAACATGCCATCCAGCTGGAGGCTTTGTGATTGGCTGAGAGAGAAACACAAATGGCCTAGCTAGGAGAATGCAGCTGAATGAGCTGGGGAGAACCGGTTTCTGTAGTGCCCCCGCGGTAAAAAAAAAAAAAAGCCCAGAGTGATGTGAAGCGGATGGACTGATGCTGTGATGTTTTGGATTTCAATTAATGGAGGCAGCATGATGGATAGTATTTCATGTGTGCAGCCTTAGCTCCAGCAAGCAGGTGCACTCTTAACACAGGGTGAAAAAGGAGAATGATGTGCAGAAGAAGAAGAAGAAGACAAAAGAGGAATGCATAATGAAGCAGCAAACGCGTGCTCCAGTATTTTAAAGAAATGAGATGCGATCGTGCCATAACAGATGTAGCTGAACGTGCTTTCAACACGATGGCATTCACAGGTCGCTGTCTTTCTATACAAACAAACTAAAAATCCAAATCCAAAAGTTACACCGAGACTCTGAAGTAAACAGCTTTAGTTAAACTGGAGAGCCTTGGTGAGGCAGATGATGATCTTTGAAGTTATACGTAACAGGGCCATTGTTATGGTGTAGTAAATCCAATGGCGGAGGGGTTGTGAGTTTCTTACTGAAGAGGACGTGCTTGGCGAGGTTGTTAATAAGTTGTCGTCTTAAAATGTCATTGGGCAGCTCTCTGTTCAGCTGCTCCTCTTCCTGTCCCTCAAACAGCTGAGCATCAGGTCTGGAACAACAACAACAACAACAACAACAACTCAACTTGTAAATATAAAGATGGAAAATTGTCTTGTAATGTCAGCTTGATATAGTATGCATTCACCAGTTCATTTCACAAATGTGTTTACTTCTCCATCATTAAATAGGTAATTATAATACGTTACCAATATAAGTCGTCATATAATATTTAGAGGATTAGTTTAGACTTACATGAGACATGACTGTAAATGTCTGCCCAGTGTACTACTTTTCTGCGTAACAGCTTTATGCTGCAAACAAACGGCCCCTTGTGTTTTGAATAAACACTAATCTGAACTGAAGTAAGCTTAATATCTTACAAAATGTGATCGTTCAATTACCGTTACCCTCCTGAACATGTGGTTCTTTCTGCTCACTTTTACTTTTATTTCCAGGCTATTGCAGAGTCGTTACATGTCTATCAAAGTCAGGATAGGCTACTATTCAGCATGTGGGTGTTACTATACATGCTGTAGGGCACTTCTTCTGAAATACTATTTGCCATTTGTGTTTTCAAATCGGCTCCGCTGGCTTTAGTTCTGAACTCGGGACTGCAGACCAGCTGGGATGGAGCGCTGCTGCCTTTGTTGATGTACTGTCAATGTCACTTTAATTTTGAAGGGACAGCGCTGAACTGAAGTGACCCCTGACAATGCTAACTTGAGTGCTGTGCTCAGATAACAGACCGTGCTGTGAGGAAGCAGGAGGGAGAAGTCAAGCGAGCTGGGACACGAGGGTTCGTAATATTACAGGTGGGAATGTGGGGCAGCTGGTTTATGGTCAGAGGATATATAGTATAGTATATAACTGATTGTGAGAGTGGGACGTGTGTGTGTTTGCCCTTACTGTGCAGAAATAATGATGGGCATCAAGGTGTGCTCCAGGGACACCGACGGTGGAATATGGCGGCTTCTCTGGGAGTCGAGGTACTCCTGCATCAGACACACGAGACATACAAACATTTTAAATACTTTCCAGTTTAAACTTTATGTAAGCCACGTTCATTCATTTTTCATTTAATATTCTCAGTTTTTTTTCCAATGAATATGTTGAGAAACTAAAAGAAAGCATGAGCTTTAAAACTGAAATGGTCTCTAGTTATAGCTCCACATGTGGCCACAACAGCTGATGTGAACATGCGGTCGGTCACCTTTAGGGAGAAGGGCTGGTTGAAGTCAACTCGGACGCAACCATAGTTCTTCCTCAGCATCCTGAACACTCCACATGCTATTCCCCACAAACTCTCATTCTGCTTCGGTTTGCCCTGGTGGGAAGAAGGAGTTCAGAAGGTTACTTAACGTAGACAATCATAACAACATATTCTAGTTATCCCACCGCTACCCACCACTAGCCAAATACGATAACATCTATTCCGTTTCTTTGAATGAAAGAAGTACACATGAACAACAGACGTCCACCGAGCACTTACCAGCTGCTCGCTATTGTAGTTGCCTTCAAGAATACGATCATAGGAAATGCCAACTGGCACCACCAGCACGTCAGGGATCGACCCGGTGCACATTGTGTCTACCACGATGGACAGCATGCCAGCACGCGCTGTAGACGGCTTACCGCTGCGGGAGCGGGTGCCCTCCAGGTAGACCTCCAAAAACTGATGCTGACGCAACAACTCCTCTGTATACTGAAGGAAGATTGATGAAACACAGAGAAGAAGAAATGTTCAGGTGAGAATGGTGGGATGAAGTTGAACGGTTAAAAGGTGACACTGGATGTCAAAAGTGAGACAAATGTGCATCCGCTGTGTGTAAAGGTCATAATACTTTTGATGTAACGTTTTTGACATTCAGCGGAACAACATTGACTCCATTACAAGGTGGAAGACGAGTCAAGTGAGTGCTGTGAAGCTGCTGCGTGTGCAGCCTGAGTACGTGTTAGAGGTGGGTGGTGGTCGCCAACAGTTTGACCCCCAAACACACCGCAGGGAACTGGGCACATGCCAAGGCCACCATTTTGTGTAACAGTATCCACCAGAGTACAGTATGTGAACAGCGGTCTCTTGCTATGTGGACACTTTTGAGAGGAGAAGCTTTGTTCGGATATTGACTCCGTCCTTTTCACAGCTAACTCTAAAAGGCCAGACGTCCAGAATTAGAGCAGCACATGGCTTTTGTCTTTATTAACCTCTGCCTGCATGTGAGCGACACAGGCAGGCCAGATTAAAATTCTTCTACCAAATGTAAGCACCGTGTCCATTTGTAAACTCTGTTTGGTGGGATGTGTTGTGTACTATTGGAGAAACAAAGGGATTACATGTAGGTCATGCTTTAGAGCAGTTGCTCATGTCTTAAACTGATACCTCTTCTCTTATGGGCACAATACACGACCTGGGTTGCTTTCAGTACTCACAACATGCACATTAACAGCAATTCCTCAACTATGAAACTGGTACAAGTAAATCCACTAAAGCAGCTTTGCTGTTTTCCATTAGTCACCAATGAGAGTGTGTCTAAGTATGTTAGAAGATGTATAAACCTACTTACAGAGAAAAACTGACAGCGTATGAGTTGGATCTACGTCAGTGAAGTGAAGAAAAGCAGCACAACTCATCTTTGCTTCACAGCAGAAGTTGTAGAGAAGTCTACAGAAGTTGCACTATTAAAGGATAGTAGTAGTAGTGTCTAAGTAACTTATTTTAAAAGGTAATAGGCAGAGACTGATGGTACATTTGAAGCTTTGATTAAAGTTTACGAAAGAAGCGTTGAATCACCATATTTTATGACGTCATCACTCACAAAAAAATGGAAAAAATATGATTTTGTGCTGTTAAACTGCTAGACCAGCGCTTCAGTACCAGTGCGACCGGTGGGAGAGCAAAGAGCTTCTGACTGTAGGGAAAGTCTTGTTTTTTTTTAAAAGGTTAAACACCATCAAATATGGATTAAAGCAGAATATTCTGTTGGATAAGAACATGTTGTGAATTTAGGAAATTATTTCGTCCATCTCTTTGCAAAACATTTTTACATTTGAACGCTCTGGAGTTATTGGAAATGTTTAGCTCACACAGGTCCTACAAAGCCACCGCTGCAATCTAATTCTACACAAAGTATAATACTTATTCTAATAATAATAGTTTAGCCTAGTCTTTATCTGCAACTGTGCAGATAAAGATTAAACTGAATAAATAGTTTCAAAAGTTTTTGATTCAGACTTTGAATATCAGCATTATGAATGAATCTTCAAAACGTCAAACTATTGAGTACAGGCCTACAGAGAGAGAACACAGGCTAACATTATGTAACAGAAGCTTTTAAGTGCCTCTGCCCATCACTCAGGAATGAAAAGAGCACACGGAGCAGAAGCATGAAGACAGCATGCAGTTATATAATAAAGCACACACACACAGAAGTGAATTTGATAACCAACCTTTACTGCAAGAGATAAATAGACTCTTGGGACTTACTGCATGTAAGAGTGATCTGTACAAAACGTCCTTCTTTCCATTCCCCGTTTCCTCCATTTTCCGTCGTATGAAAAATCCTCCAAGTTTACGGATAAGCGTGCTGAAAAGAAAAGAACGTTCGATCACGAGGCTTCAACCCTGAGCTTTCTACAAGAGCAGCAGCAGCAGCGTGCTTATCATTATCAGTTGGCTAGAACAATGTGATAGTCCAGTAATTACAACAGGCCAATTATTTAGATTATGGCGTATCCGTGATTAAATAGTATAATATAATTCTCTTTAAAACATGTGATTATTGGGAGTATTGTTGACACACACATGTATGTGCAGAACCCATCGTCTGTGTTTAACTCTTCTTTAAAAACAGATTTCACTTCTTCATTTCCTTCATGTTTCCTCGTCTGTATCACTAGGTGTGTTCCTGTTCTCAGTAAACATGGCTCAGGTTGGTACTTTTGGAGGGTCTATATATCATAGGCATCGATGTACTTTAGAAGATCTGTTTTGGAACCTCAAATATCATTTGACTCAGATTATAACAACACATCTTCACCTCCTTTAGTCAGCCTGGCTTCCCGGATATTAATGTTCCCTCAATGTAAACTCAGTGTCGACCTTTAGTTTCACTCTTTGGAATCAGTTTTAATTCCTCTCTGATCCATTTCCAAGGAATTCCCTTTCGTGTTATATCAAACGGATCTCTGTGTTCTCACTTACAGAGAGCAAACATAAACACCTTCTTTCCAGATCAAACGTGACGCGAGGCTTCTTTTACCTGAGGATAGGAATGCTTAGGTTGTTTCCAGCAGCAATGTGAGGGGCTTTGATGTTGTGACAGAACAGGATCAAGGTGATGAGCAGGTAGTCAATGTGCGATTTGTGAACAGGGAGGAAGACCATTGGCACATTTTGCTGTAAAGACAAAACGGAGATGATTTTTAAATAAACACATTTCTGAGTGCAGATGGAACAGAACTCCAGTTTAATGTAAAAGCAACATTTTATCTTCTAATTTGATATAATGTCTACAGTATCTACAATCTCCATTTACAATGCACCCCTCAGAAATGTATTGTGATGATCAATATTTGTGTAATGCCTCTGGAGACACTGTATGTCTTGTGGAGAAGGTCATGTTGTGACTGTGTAGTTCATTATATTTGTGCGTGTACTTTCTGCTGACCTCAGTAGCAGCCTTCTTGACCATTTCCAGCTGACCCTTGTGGATCTGGATGCTCCAGAAGAAACCATTAAAGAGCCTCAGGAGGACCCACCCCGTCAGCCTGAGTAACAAGAAGAGGTGTGAGAAGATGTGGAGCAGGAACAAAGAGTCCAAAACTTGAGCTGTAGCAGAATCTAGTCTATTTAAGTGTAACGTGACATAACGTAAGGGTACTTTTCTAAGGTTTTGTTAATGTGTTAGAATATCAATCAATGACTGAAAAGCAAGAGCGCTGAGATTTCAGGTACACAGCATGTACCTGATGAAGGCCGGTGAAATGTTGGCCACCATCTCCTGAAGGAAGGCCCTGGCTTTCTGCTTCACTTTACTGATTGCTTTGTGCTCCTGGCCCGGCTGGCTGGCTGCAGCGTCCAAATCTGTGGCTACCTCCACAATAGAACTCTCCACCCTGCCATGCACCACAGCACACAGCAAACATAAGCGGACACAAACACAAAATGTTGCGACAAATGTGTCGCGTTGCGTCGGGCGTTACCTGCTGTTGTTGAGCACGTTGTCCACTACGTTCCTGGTGAACATGTCCTTGTTGACGTCTCTCTCCATGACAAACAGCACGTAACTCAGCCTGCGCGCCAGCCATCCCCGCTGTCTGCAGCAAGACACATCAACACACGAAACTAACAACGCCATCTTGTCCATATTGACTTCAGCTCATCTCGACTCTGAGATGCTAATGCAATGCTGAATAAATACAATAAAAGAATATAAACTTATTTCATCTTTTTCTGTGCTTTTTGGAGCATGACGGCAATCGGCCTTCACTTAGGTACGTCTATGCAAAGGGTTGCCTTGGACTTTGAAAATGCAAAGAATCACACCAAGCTCATATTTATACCGTTTGGTGGTTGAGCTTTCAAGACGTCTTAAATTCAGTCACTGGATGCATGTGTTCGGTGTCCGCTGACAAACATTTTAAATTATTCAACCGTCTACCTTTCCACTGTTTCATAGATCGGCCCTCTTGACTTAAAGCCGTGTATTAGGAGGGCCAGCGTCTGTCTGCACTGTATTGATTGTACTATACAGGAGGAGTTAGAGCTCTTGCTCTTGTTGCATTAAATGGTCATCAGAAGCCAAAACAGCCACGTGAAAGCCGACCAGCTCGCCATGTAGTTTCAGAAGTTGAATATGTTCCTCTTGCCTGGCCAATGGCCCGCTCAGAGTAAAATACGGCGGAAAGAAGTGATACCATAATGGAGTAGGTTCTGCTTTGTTTACCTGGTGTGGGTCTCATTAATGTAGATGACGTTGCGTAGTCCCAGAGATGGAATACTGGGGTTGAACAGTTTCTCCTGGGACCAAGACAATAATGAGGATTATCGTGAGGAAGACAGCATCCACATAACTTCAACTAAGAGCCTTAAAGACAGCCATGGGTTGCACGGAAGGTATATAGTATTTCATTTAGCTGTCTTTGACGAGTACTTGGCTCAGACTGGAATCCAGGTGAGCATCTTTACAGAGCGAAACAAGCTAGTCACCAATGTGTCGTCGTGTGTACTTTATCAGACCGGCCTCAGTGACACAAAGTCAGTCTGCCCTGATGTGGTTTGATATTTACACAGTATTTCATTGGCTCGTCACATGTTATTGACTCTCTATGCTCAAACCAGTGCTTCACACATTGTTTTGAAAGAAATATGTTGAGAATGTTTGTTGTCCGCTGCTACAAATGGAATGTTAATTTGGATATAGAGAAGATGTCACGGTTGATTTCACATAAAAACAATACATTTTAATGTTCGATGGATTTCTAGTGTCTTCAAACAGCCCCAAGAAATTGTTTTTGGCAAGAGCTGTACCCTGCATATTGATAATTTCTCCTTTAGTTATAAATATGTATGATTATATATAATTACCCAGCTCTGTGGTGTACAGGAGTGACAGCAGCGGCCCACAAAGGGCCTCTTTCTGTTCAGCAGGCCCTCCTTCCACGTGCTGGCAACACAGCGCAGGACCGAGGGGCTGGTGCTGCGGTCCTTTAAGAGACATCCACACAGAACAATCACTGAAGGTGCCGAGACGAGACCAAACTAATAAGATCGGACAAGATGTGTAATGCTGATCCTACTGCATAATTATGAAGATAAAAGTGATGGTCTGTGGTTTACCGAGTCATCGTTGGGATGTTTCCAGCGGTTACACCACTGCTCTCCATTGTTCACTTGCAGCAACAAACCATCTGACAGCTCCATGTTCTCCGCCGTCCTTTTCTCTCCCTCCAGATCACACACCACTAGCTGGCAAGCTGGAAAGACACAAGGATATCACATGGTTACATTTTTAATTATATTAATGCAGCCCACACTCCTGGCAATATACGAGTTTCCATTTTCTGAGTAAGAGCCTGTTAATTAAGCTTACTTAGACAATATCGTAATTCACAGATCATACGTCAGATAGACCACACGAGCATCTGAACAAGAAACTACTGGCACACAAAAGGAAGATTATTGTAGATTAAAAACTTAAATTACAGCACATTGTTAATTAAATTTAAATATTTATTTTGAAGATGAACTACAGTTCTTGTGAGTCTTAGATATACTGTACATGTATATTCACGTTGTCACTTACTGGAATACAGAATAGTAGATACATATATTAGCTTTGAATATCAGAAAATACTTGCAGCTAATTCGTAAAAGAAACCTTCAATGCAAAACTATTTTGCAACAATAGGACAGCATCAGATTTCTATAATACAAAGATATCCTGACTGGTGTATCTCCACACGTTTGTGTGTATTAGCACCGGGCATGAAACAGGTGTTACCAGCCTCGCTCCAACATAACCAGAGAAACCAGCTGGATGAAATAGCTAAAATAAAACGTGGGCTCCTCCAAAACGATGCATCACCCTGCTAGTATGAGTTTGGTTCACATGACACCCGTTTGCTCCAGAGGAAGAGAAATATCAGGGTTACATTGTTACACTTGTATTATGCAATACACGCCCAAACACCTGAGACTGGAGGACCTCTGGGACCAACCAGGTGACAGTCACTGCTTAAAAGAAAAGCATATCGTGCAAATCAAATGGCTGGGTTTATTTACCCCTCCTTCACGCACACTCCAATACCATGTGCTAATTTGCTTAAGTCTATAATTTACCTGTCACACTTCCCCTAGAAAGCCATTTTAAAAACTGGTACGTCAGAGTTCACAAGTGGGGCAAAGAGCCACACACGCTTCATACATCAAACACGTGACTGAAGTTGTGCTGCTCTACGATACAACACGTGAGGGAAACCTATAACACTAGTCAGAGGGTGAGTCACTATTGTTTTCACTGTAGCTCTAAAAATATCTGTTGCAGGTATGTTAACAACTACATCCTTATTTAAAATAACACTTATCTACCTTTAATGTGTGCTTACTCAATACAGCTATGACAAAGGGTTTCTTCAGACCTATTTGTTGTGTACTGCACACCTACCAGTCGAGTATCTCTAAATAGCCTCTGAAAGTTTTTAACAAGATTATTTACTTGGATAAAGGCTGTGGCCAGAGGACACCGTAACAGCTTTAGTCGATACGGAAATAGCAAAAACTTGGAGTATGATAATTGCCAAAGAAAGGTACTTATAAAGGATTAAACTCTACAATTTTAACTACTTAAAATAAGTGTTTGAATCAAAATTAACACAGGACAAGACTATATCTAAAATACTTTGTGTTTTAGATGCTGTATTCTGGATATTATGTGAGGATTAAAACACTGTACAACAACACTTTGTTTTTGTTAATGACCAAATCACACATGTTCTCATACTTTTCTGGTTACTGCCTTGCTAAACCTTTTACTACAATGGAGGTGTGCAGGGTCTGGGCCCCAAATACCTACAAATTAAAAACTTTCTCTGCCCGTTTTCGCAATTGTTAATTTCAACAACAAAATACAGAGCGCATGTAAAGTCCAAAGCCCTGGAGAAACACGGACAAAGTACAAAGATTACAAAAGGTAATAAACAGAAAAACACCATGGCCTCCGACTTGTTTGCGAGACACTTTATGAATAATTGCTTTCACACTAAACATTGTATAGTATGTGTGTAGGTTAAGGGACAGTCACGTGTAGGGGCAGCTCCATCTTTCTGTGAATAATATTAAGACTTCCTGCCTAGTCCATCAGTGGCCCTGTGAGCCATTATCTTGCTGTGGTGTTAGTAGGTGATATGCACACTGATGAGGGTTTTCAAAAGGGGTCAATGACCGAGAGTACTCCACTTGATGCAGTGACTTTGTTGGAATCAAACAAAGAAGTTGAAGAATGAGGAGCTTGGCAGATTAGGTGACAGGTGAATGTAGCCAGAAGGAAACACAGTGTTTCCATGAACGTTCATCTATTGGCTAATGCAGAGTAATAAGGCTACATTGTTATTTTGCTAGTCTTCTAATGAAAATAAAACTCTTATGAGATATCCATCTTATCATCCAAATTATATCCCATCACGAAGTGTGTCCACATGATAAGAAATGAGATGATATATGTTGCCATTTCTTAAGGATTAACAGTATTTTATATTTATCCATCCATATCAGCCAAAATAACAAACATGACAATTCTACAATCTTCTAATCATCACACTGACCTAGACACATACCAGCATTGTCGTGGGAGACAGCCGATCACACTCTATTCATCTTATGGAGGTCAAAACCCTCTTTTTCATAAACACTGTACACGACGAGGTTAATCCTCCTCCAAACATGCTCCAACCTGTCCACCGTAAGCAGGTCAAACGGGAGAAGTCTCCAGTGTGACAGATGGGGCTGTGCAGATAACTAGCAGGGCAGACAACAATGGCACACAACAGGGCAGCCCGGTGTCTGGTTCGGCTACAAAGTAACGTTAAAATTAAACACCATGAATTGTGCAGTCTCAGCCACCGTCTTTTGGCGATTTTGCATCGCATGCTGCCGAGCCTCACGTGGCCAACCTGACGTTAGGGTTTAAAGGAATAAATGTAGTTTACGGAAGATACGTTCATGAGAGATTACATTATATTGTGTGACCGAAGAAGGCACAAGGTTGGAAATTACAAATGGTCCTCTTGAACTCAATGTCAATGTAAAGTTAACCGGCTGACGTCAGGTTACACCACTTAAAATCGGCTTAAATGTGATGTAGCATTAGCCGGTCACAAGCGTGTCAACGGCGTCGTGTAAGCTAAATGGTACAACGCAGTTGTTTCCATGACAATACGGTAGACGGTTACATAGCCCCGACCGTTAGCCCTTTAGCCAGGCTCGTGAGGACGACAATTTGCCTTACCTTGAATGTTGTGTTACGCTGACTCATATCTCAAAAATTAAAGAAAGTCGTCGACAAAAATCTGCAGCCAAGCCGTTTTGGTTTCCTCGGTGCCTTTGTGCCTCCCTACAGGAGCTCCTGCACGCTCTCCTTCATAAGACTGGCACGGCACGGCACGGCTCTGACAGACAGAAATGTGTCACAGAGAGGAAGGAGCGCTGTTATTTCAGTACAGCGGCGACCTGCCTGAGGTGTAGTTCTGCCCGCAGCCAGGAGGGGGCAGCACGGCGCCAATGTGATCACTATGCATTTGTTTCCCACCATTCATTCATTTTATCAGCTGCAACCTATAAACTACCTGCAAGCATAGATAATATAAAACAGGCTGCGACCCTTCAAGTACTATACTATACTATTCTACACTTAAAAAATATCACATAAGCATGTACAGCAAATTACATTTGCACAAAGAATAAACGTTTTATAAATTAGAAAAACATGGATGTAGTGCGCCCTCTAGTGGTTGGATATTTTTAATATATTTTATTGGAGCGTACCACTTGTGCTATGATCAGGGGGGAACGATAACTGCACTTAGTGTCACTTTAAATGTATATTAACTATATATACGACATTAAATGTCCCACTTTTAAAATAACTTTGGTCAAATTACTATAACTACCGAATATTTAGCTATATTTACGGTTTTCTGACAATTAGCCGCAGTTGGGTGACCCATGACGACATTTAAAATGGTATGGACTAGCTCGTCCTATTTCCTTCGTTTCTTCCAAGCTAGTAGCAGCCATGAGGTAAGCAGGACATTTGACATTGAAATACGTGTATTTATTCTATGTAAACATTTAATAGGGTGGTTGCCTGTGTTATTTAAGACCAGTTGATAGACTTTAATGATGTTCGACATGAGTAAAGTCTCTTATTTCTACCAGAATGCACGTAGCGTTAGCATGGGGCCTACGTTGGTGAGCTAAGTTAGCCGCATAACTACTACATGTTACTGAAACACCACAGAGTCTTAGCGGCTGATCAGCACGCAACAGTGCAAGTATTTAGCGTCTGTGTCAATGATATTCGAACTATCCGATCAATGGTGTCTGTGAAATTAAGTAAACGAGCCATTATACAACACATTTTAGGATGGGTGCTCTTTTCCTATCGGTGGCGTGCACGCGAGTAGCTGGCAGCTGATCAATTGGTGCTCTTTTTCTTTATTAAACCAGTTTGAACCTGTTGGTTTGGTCAAGTCACTTTTCAATGTGTTCTTAGTAAAAAAGAAGAAAAGAACCGTCTCTCTATGATAAAATTAGATGAGTATAGACTGTTGTGGTCAGATTCATCTTTATTCCATAAGCACAGTGACACAGGTGGTAGTGTTTGGTCACTAAACAACTGTTTTACGGTAGAAGTACTTTATACCTTGATTTGGGAATTATGAGAATACTTGTGTTTTGTGTGTATCTTGTTTGATTCTTTTTTTTTTTTTTTTTGTATGTGCTTCTATTTGTAATCCAGGTTTAGAAAAGTTCACTTTTACTAGCAGTAACAGGGTTAATAAAGTATTGAGCTATTAAATGTAATATACCTAAGGTGGCCTATTATTTCTCGATTGGTAATTTCAGTCAATACAAGATCAAATAGACATCAATGCTAAGAGTTGTTTGAGTTTAAATTCATAGTTAATCCTAAAGGCCCCTTAGCACTGTATGCGTCTGATATCCTGCAAAACTAATATGCCAACATGCTCCAGGCTCCAGAAGCGCTTGGCGTCCAGCGTTTTGCGCTGTGGCAAGAAGAAGGTGTGGTTGGACCCAAATGAGACCAATGAGATTGCCAATGCCAATTCTCGTGAGTTATTTACTTTGCATTGGAGAGCTCTATCTGTCCTCTGTAGATTTGTGTGGTGTGAGCTTCATAGGCCAGCACCTTTATTGCATTTTATTTGTACCACAGGCCAGCAGATCCGAAAACTGGTGAAGGATGGACTGATCATCAGAAAGCCTGTGACGGTTCATTCCCGTGCGCGCTGCCGCAAGAACACGTTGGCACGCCGCAAGGGGCGTCACATGGGTTATGGTGGGTAACGTCCATCTCCTTTTCCTCATTTTGTTCACACGCATCACTTTAATTTCCCAAGTTTATTTTGAGGAAAAAGCATGAAATTGTAAACCGTATGGAATCCTGCAAATGGCAGTTGTTTGGTTTTGATATGAAGACAATTTGACACACTGCCATTTTATAGATTTCATGATAACGTATAATTAATTTTCCTCCTGCCCAGGTAAGAGAAAGGGTACAGCCAATGCTCGTATGCCAGAGAAGCTTTCCTGGATGCGCCGCATGAGAATCCTGCGTCGTCTTCTTCGTCGCTACAGGGAGTCCAAGAAAATTGACAGGCACATGTAAGTGTGAATCTCAGCGCTCATTGCTGGTGAATATGCCAGTGTAGTTTAAACTCCTACTCCAGGAAGAGGCATCTTACTTTGAGACGCTCCTGAGGTATTTTATTTCTGTTTCCTCCAGGTACCACAGTCTCTATCTGAGGGCCAAGGGTAATGTCTTCAAGAACAAACGCATCCTGATGGAGCACATCCACAAGCTGAAGGCAGATAAGGCTCGCAAGAAGCTGTTATGGTAAGTTGCTCTTTTTCGTTGTTTTTTTTCTAGAAGTGTCCATGTACGACACTTTTCCATTAGCTCAAGGTGTTGCTGTCAACTAAATTCTCTTCTGTCTCCTCCTTCTTTTACCCTCCAGTGACCAGGCTGAGGCTCGTCGTTCAAAGACAAAGGAGGCCCGCAAGCGCAGAGAAGAGCGTCTCTTGGCCAAAAAAGAAGAGATGATCAAGGCCTTCGCCAAGGAGGACGAAACTGCAAAGAAGTGAATTTAGATCGAAAGTTTTTCTTGTCGGATTCTACTTTTCTTGCTAATAAATTTGGATAAAAGTGTCATTGTCAGTTTGGTTATTGTCTGCCGGTTTTGGTGTTAAATATGAGTTCATGTTGGGAGACACAAAGTAAAGTTCAGGAGCAAGTGATTACTTCAAAGCAGTAATTGTTGACTTATTATAAAACATTTTTTTTTTTTTCCAGAATGACATGCATACATAGTATGATCATTGTGTTCATATGGCTTAAGTTAAGAAAAGACTATTCTGCATTTTTGTGTTCTCAACAGTCCAGCAAGTGGCAGCAGAGCACCAGTATCAAGTTGTTCTCTACATCAGACATCTTCATTCATTGCAATCATCCAGATGTTTAAAACACTAAAATATAGCTGCAGATTAAATAGTGGCTCACACCATCTATTTTGCTACTCATCCCAGAGGCTGAATCGGTTTAATCCACAATATTCAATCACATTTTAGTTCAATTACAGCAGACTGATGTAAGACTCAAAAACAGGCAGTTTCCATATAGCGCAAGTCATTTTATTGCAATATCTGCACAGAAAAAGCTACCTAAATATATATTCAAAAATCTAACCTAAATAAGCAAACATCTAGAATAATTAAACGATACTACTACTAAATAAAATAACTAAATACGAACATCAAATTAATAGCTCCTACATAATTGATTGAACAAAGTGCTGCAGCATTTTTATGCATGATGTGTTACGTGTGTGTGTCAAACAGGAATTGTCCAAATGCTTTTTCTTTTTTAAATGCCTCGACACATTCTAGGTCGCCCTCTGCCTGTGTGTGTTTGGTTGCCAGTCTTAATGTGTCGGTGATGATCATTTCATCCATGACTTATCAATTTACAACTAACTGTGAGCAATCATTTTCAATCAGTCACTATGAATTCAGCTCCTTTTGATTGCAGTTGACATTGGTGCAAAACTTCAGAGACGGATGGAGAACACAACAGACTTTTGACTTTTCAGTGTGGACAATTAGATACCGCTGTTTGTTCATATAGATGAACCCAAACAATGATAAACTACTTAGTTTTATGAATAAATTATGCAGGAGTTAATTATTTTCTCTGAAGGCAAGTCACAAACAACTGTATCACAAGTTCGTACAAACGCTGGCCACGCTCCAGCTTACAACCACTCGCAGCCACATTAGACCTCAGCTGCTGACGTTCCAGTCAAGTCATTTCTACTTCCTGCTCGGGCCTTGATGGATTCCTTCTTGCTTGCTCCCTTGAGAAGGAATGACTGAAGTGTTTGCAGACGCAGCAGTCGCTAACCAGGACAGACGGGCAGCTGCGTCTGTCTGTGTTTCTAAGAAAGACCTCCGGGATGCTCCTCAGGTGGATTCAAAGCAGATGTTATTCAGCAGGATCTTATGTGTGTGGCACCGGTGTTTGACTTTCAATTAATTTTTCCTATGGATGGAAGGATATATCAATGACATACTCTAGTCGGGAATCTAGAAATAAATAATTCACAACTTTTTAGGCTTTTGGACTAAGAAGTCAAGTGTTGACCCTCTTACATTTTCTCCCAGAACTTGCCCCAGAGAGTTCACTTCCTGCTCACTGGCAGATGTTTAACTTGTTTTAAATCTGGTTTGTAGTATCCTCTGCTCTTATCATGCACCATCACGCATAAACAATGAGACACCCAAGCTTTAGAGGCTGCAGTGAAAACACCCTCATGTTTAAAAGGCCTTGAGGAGCTGGAATGAAGGCTTACACAGCATAATGCATCCGCTTACCTTGGTATTCTGATACGTCATAGTTTAACCATACTTTTATCAAAAAATGCAACCCTAACTGTACGTTTACTAAACTGTTAGCTAAACCATAGTGTTACTAAAATGCTCAGACATACAGACAAATGTCAGATCTCCAGAAAGAAGCCACAGGGATTGCTGACGGAGGAAGCAGGCTTTGTGCAGCGAGGCCATTTTGTAGCTCAGTTAATGTATTTCTTCATTACCAGGAGGCACTCCTACTTGCTGAAGCGTGAGCCTTAATGAGATTAGATAAGGAGAGGAATGCGAGATGAAATGAAGCAGCTCTCTTTATTACAGTTGGCCTCCAACCCGGGCAAAACAAATGGAGAACACTAACGAGTTCAGGAGATCTTCAAAAACATTTGAGATTAGAAGATTAAAGTAATTATAGAAGGTTCTTTTTTAAATATAAAAACAGTTGATGTGTCAAATCTTTACCCTGCGCTTGGCAGTTTGCATTGAGCTTTATCTCTATGGTGGTATAATGAACTGTTGGCCATCGTAGGTTTCAAGAGACCTTTATG